ATCCCAGCATTCTGGAGGCAGATCTCTGTGAGTTTGAAGCCATCCTGGTCTACAGAGTGAGTTCCAGGACAAACAAAAAAGCACAACAACAACAACAAAAAATCCTCTTGAAAAACAAAATAAACAAACAAAAAATAATAAGGCTTGTAAATAATAAAAGTTAGAATTTTGAAAACTTACTTAACATAGCCATTTTAAGCTTACCAGGTTCCTAGTTCTTACAATCACTACAAACCCTGGTCACATCCAACATGTTTATTGGAATATGTTAGTATCTGGATGGGTATGAAACTTTTCTGGATGGTGTTTTTCATGATGGTATGTATTCTGTAATCATGTCTCAGGTTGAGAGTGTAGTGCAGAGGTAGAGTGTGTTTAAATCCCTAAGTTTGGTCCTTTGTAACACACAGCATAAAAATTCTAACCACACTGGACTGGAGAGATGGCTCAGCAGTTAAGAGCACTGGCTGCTCTTCCAGAGGACCTGAATTCAATTCCCAGCAACCTGATGGTGGCTCACAGCCAATTATGAAGGAATCCCTTGTGCTCTTTGTGTATACAGGCATACAGGCAAATAGAACACTCATATACATATCATATATAAAATCTTTAGAAAGGTTTTTTTTTTTTAATGATAAAAATTCTGCCCACGGTACAAGAGAAACCAATGTGTTTCAGTGTAACAGATCCTGATAGAATTTGAATTCCCCATTGCAAATCCCTTTAAGAAATCATTACATCATGAATTTTAGTACAGTGTTAACGAATGCCCTCAGCTATCTGAAAAAAACTTTACAACAGTGACACTGTGTAAAACTATATTTTCTTCTTATACTTCAAACAACTTTTATTTTTGATGATGGTGATCCATCCTTTGCTGGGTAGATAAAATGTTTTATCCCTAATTAAATGCAGAAACAGATCTTAAAATATGATCCATTCTAGTATGACATACACTAAAGAAATTTATATTTTTAATTAAAACATTTTCAGTAAGCTACTCTCGTTATTAGTTTGGACAGTACACTTAGTTTTTGAAGTAATAATCTTATTTAGAAACAGTCTTCCCCCCATTGGCCTCAGTATTGGCATATAATTATGGAATAAATTACTATAATTTGATAACATGCATGCATTGTTCAATGACCATATCAGCATAATTAGCATTTCTATCTCCTTAGAAATTTTCATTTTCTATTTCATGGGAACCCTCAGACTCTGACCTTCATTTACTCTGAATCATAGTTGTAGGCTGTCATTGCCAGACAACATCTCAGTTATGTTTGGTACCATTGTCCACTCTCAGGGTTTCGCTCTGGTCTCCCCTTCCTAGCCACTAGTGGCTCCACTCGGCACTCAGTGTGTACAGGATTAGCTCCTGTGGCATCTGTAGATGAGGGGCGGCACCAGAGTTTGTCTTTCTGTGCTGTGTGACTTGCTTTTCTGCTTTCCCGAGTGTAAGAACAGCAGTATTTGTCTTAGTGTGTACAGCTTATCTCCCTTCCCTTGACATGATGATGTCTTCTCTTCTATCCATGTTGCCAGAAAAGAGAGTAAAGCTTTACGGTTGAGAAGTATTCCACTGCCCATTTTAAAAGTCTTTGTTTCGGTGGACACTTGATTGACTCTCTTCACTGTTATATTGCAGTAAACACAAGCATGAAGGTATCTTTGAAAGAATGATAATTCTGAGACCCTTTACTATAGTTCCTAGTGTTGAGGTGATTCCTAACTGTAAAATTATTTTTGTTGCTAACTCATAACAGTACTTTTGCTATTGTTATGAACTGTAATGTAGATATCTGTATTTTCTGGTGGTTTTAGGTGACCCCTTTGAAAGGGGTTGTTTGACTCTCAAAGGGGTTGAGACCCAGAGCTTTGTGTTTTAGTTTTGTTTTTTGTGGAACCTGACATAAATACAGTAATGCCAGAATTAAATAAAGTGAGCTATAAGAGGACATTTAAATAACAGTGTAAGGTGATTGTCTCCACAAAGACTAGTGTGACTGGAACGAGTCTGTTGTGGAAGTCAAATGCAGGTAACTGGTTGGAGCAGGTCTGTTAACATCCTTTCAGGGCGCCAAGTGAATATCTTAAATTTGCCAGTTCTACAGGCTGTTATGAGAGATGAGCTGTGGCTCGGTTCCAGGAAAGCTTTGCTGTTTGCCTACTCTGTTTTGATGGTGTTCTGGGTTCCTTGAAATTTTCACATGAATTTTAATATCAGCTTGTCAATTCATGAGAGGAATTACTGGGGATTTTCACAGAGATTGCTCTCACTTTGCCAACTTGAGTAGTATAGGTGGTGTGATCATGTTGTGATCAAATACCTGAAAAGCAATTTGATGGAGAAAGGGTTTATTTTGTGCCCATGCTGGGGAGGTTACAGTGGCAGGCAGGAGCTGCTCAGGGTTAGAGTAGTGGAGTGAGCTCTGTTTGCTCACATCTTGGAGGGTCAGGAAGCAGAGTACAGGGAAATTTTCACATTCAAGGGGCTTTCTCCTTTATCTCTTTTGTTCAGTTCAGGGCCCCTGCCTGTGGGATAATACTACCCACTTGTTCTTCAGATCTGGAAACCTAACATAACAATGTATCTGACCTGCTGAGTGTGGTGGCACACCTTTAATCCTAGCCTGGTGTACATAGTAAGCTTCAGGACAGCCAGGGCTACACAGAGACTCTGTCTCCAAAAACCCAAAAGGAAATAAGTGTCTGACTAACTATGCTTTGTTTCTTACAGCAGTCTGATCTGCAAATTTGGTGCTTTCTTTATATTTAGGTACTTAATTTCTTTTATTTAATATTTTAAGTTTGTTTTACACTGTATAGCACACCTCACTTTTCTAGTTCCTTGGATTCTCTGTAGAAGAGAATCTCACAGGGAAGTGCTGTGATATCAGATACAGTGCTTAGAGAGGCTTAGAACCCCTGGAGGAGAAACGGAGGTCAGTGCTTTTCCTTTTCTCTTATGAGACCTGAGTTCTTCATTGCAGGATGGGTGAGCAGAAAATAAAGTCCATTTCCTGATATCTGTGAACAATATTCCCTGTAAGAAAAAAGGTCATTGTCACAGATGTTAATAATACTGGGAGAAACAGAAGAAAAGACTTAGACAATAATAATTGCTTGGTTTTTCATTAATTCACTATGAAGATTAATTACTTCTCTGAAACTGAGGAAAATAAGTCAGTGTACAAAGAAACTGGAAATTTTAAATGTAGTTCCTTCATTTGACATGTAAATTAAATGCAGTATAGAAAATTGAGTGATACAGAAAATGTACTAAAAAATAAGTAATGTGAAATTTGCAGTAAATTGAAAAGATGAAAAATAAAAATACAACGTTTTGTTTGTGTACCTTTTACTTGAAAATGAGAATAACAACAATTGAATTGAGAATATTTTGGGATTGAAGGGAAAGTCAGTTCTTTTTGTTTTGATATAAAGTTAGATGTGATCCCAGAGGCAGAGGTGTTTGTATTTTAGGGAAGTAAAGTACTGAAAAGAGTTTTAAAAGCATTTATTTTCAGTGTGTGTATGTATGGTCAAAGGACAACTTCCAGGAGTCAGTTTGCTGTCCCTGGGATTCAAACTCAGGTTGTCAGGCTTGGCGGCAAGCATCTTTATCTACTGAGCTGTCTCAAGTGGTCTAAAAGAGATTTTTTTTGAGAACTTTTTGAAAATGAAGTTTTAACTTTATTTTGAAATATTTAATACCCATAGAAAAGTTGGAAGAATAGACCAGAGAACCTACAAATCTTTCTTTGGTTGCTGACAGACTTTCCTCTTATGACTTCCCTAAACAATTAGCAGAGCTACCGTGCATGGTCTTTAGATGTATAGTCTCTAGGTGCAAGGCATGCAAAAGCCATGTATGGATCGTTGGTGGATGTCCACAGTGGGCAGTTCTGGAACTGACCCTTGGATACCAAGGAAGGATTGTATACAGGATTGTGAGAGGAGCGGAGTAGCATTTCCCTACGAGACCACAGTACAGTGTCCATTCATAATACTTATTGAAAGCAGTTTCCTTTATTTTATGTATGGGTGTTTGCCTCCATGTTTGCACGTGTACTCATGCGTGCAATGCCCACACAGACCGGAGAGGGCATGAGATATCCTTGGAACTATAGTTACCAATAGTAGTGAGCCACCATGCAGGTGCCTGTAACGAGTACGGTGTTTTCCTCTTGTCGCCACTCTTGTTCCGTCGCCGCACCTGCCCCAATTAATAAACAGAGACTCTGTATTTGTTATTATGTTGTTGGCCAGTTACTACTTGCTTATCGGCTAGTTCTGTCTTAATTATTAACCCATTTTTATGTATTTCCACGTGGTCTTACCACCGAGAGGCTACTGGCGGTTCTATTCTCTCCAGGCTCTCCATGCTGACTCCTCTTTACTACTTTTTATTTCCTCCTTGTCTCCTAGTCCCTCCTATCTTCCTTTCCTATTGGCCAACAGTGCTTTATTTATTAACCAGTATGAGAAACATATATACATAATGACATCTCCCATCAGGTGCCGGGAACTGAACCTGGGCCCTCTAGAAGAATAGCCAGTGTGAGCCATCTCTGCAGCTGCCTGAAGAGATTCTTGATGTCTTGGTGTTTGAGAGTCATTGAAGAACCCTGTCTAATACAGTTGAAAGAACTTGGAACTGCTTGAGGACTAGGACTGATTGTTACTGTTTTCTGTTCTCACATGAGTAGATATATGAATTATTTGCTAAAGAGACAAAGGCTGGTATGATAATGAGCAGGAGAGGAATCTGAAGCCTGTGGGAACATGTCAGAGAGTGAATATCCTGCTGATTGCTCTTGGGCAAGGCAGGAAAGGGATTTTGGGCTTCACTTTTGCCCCCTTTTGAGTTTGTCATAGAAAACAAAAGTGTTATTTCTGCTTAAAGTTTGTTGACAACAATCTGGAGGAGCTGAACCCACATTTAAGTAAAACTTACGTTGTTATGGCTTCTAATTTAATTTTGTTTTCAATTTTAGGAAACACTCCTTTACATCTTGCTGTGATGTTAGGAAATAAAGGTTAGTAAATACTTTTAATGTTTAATTTCACTCACACATTGGTTTTGTCATTAAAAAACATATTATTTGTGTATAAGTATGTGACTTCCAGCATGCCTCTATATGTGTACGGAAATTAGAGGACAGCTTGTAGAAGTTGGTTCTTTCTGTCTACCACATGGGTCCTGGGGATCAAAGTCAGTTTACCGTGTTTGGTGTTTGTATTTGGTGCACTTGGAGACCAGAGGGTGTCAGATTTCTTAGAACTGGAATTAAAGATGGCTATGAGTCACCCAGCATGGGTGCTGTGAACAGAATCAAGGTTCTTTGGAAGAGCAGGGAGTGTTCTTAACTATGGAGCCCTCCTTCTAGCCCCTTAAAAATATATTTTTAGATTAAGCATTTTAAATTAACTTTTTTTTTTTTAAAGGGCTTGAGAGTTTTTAACTCTAGCTCCAAGAGATCTGACATAATTCTGGCCTCCACGGGTATACACACACACACACACATACTCACAGACACACTCACACACACACACACACACTCATACTCAGACACACACACTCACAGACACACACACACCCCAAAATACATTTTAAAAAACTTTTTTGTAGGTTGGGAAGATGGCTCAGCACTTAAGATCATTGACTACTCTTCCAGAGTACAGAGGTTCAATTCCAAGCACCCATATGACTGCTCACAGCTTTCTGTAACTCCAGGATCCAACACCCTCACACATATACCTACAGGCAAAACAGTAATGAACATAAAATAAAAATCAATTATTAATAAAAAACTATTTTGCTCAATGTTATCAGTGCAAACACACTGACTCATTTGAAATACAATTGTAAAAGATGAGCAAGAAGCTTCTCTCCATTTCTTTTTCTGATAATATTATAAAAAATAGTAATTCCAGTCGGGCAGTGGTGCTATATGCTTTTAATCCCAGCAGTCAGGAGGTAGAGGCAGTTGGATCTCTGTGAGTTCAAGGTCTGCCTGGTCTACAAAGCAAATTCCAGGATAACCAAGGCTACACAGAGAAGTCCTGTCCTGGAAACAAAACATAAAAGTGAATTCACATTTGTTATCTGAAGGGTGTCTTTCCGTCTTCATGCCTTCCTCTGGCACACCCTTAGCGTGGGTTCACCCAGGTGGAGCCCTGTCTGCTGTGCGGTGCTTCTCCCTGTCAGTTTCTAAGTTCTATCACTTGACTGGTGATAGTCTGTGGATGTGGCTGCTGTAGACCCTGTGTGAGTGCTCTCTGAGCTTTTCCTCCGTCCAGTTACTGGTGGTGTAACTTGTCCTCTGCTTACATCACTTGCTGACTGGCAGTAGTTCACCCTTACTTCCGTGGGTTCTGACCATTAATTCCCCTCACTCCTGTGCCCTTGCTGTAGTGTTCCTCTTTGAACCACAGTTCAATACTACTCAACCGGTATTGGTTCAGGCTTCAGGAGTCAGACCCCAACTTATTTTAGACATATTTAAGCACAGCACAGTTTGGAAAAAAAAAGCTTCCTGGTAATAATTAACTCAAACCTATGTGCACAACAAACCTTAAGATATGACTATATTGAAACTCTTTGTAAATTACAAGTGGTTCTCCCATAAAGATAGGTTCGATAGATGGTCTGGGGGAGGATAGTGCTATAAATTGTGACATAGAGATAATGGTCTATGGTTTTGTTTTGTTTTTTAAGATAATTATTATGTATATAGTGTTCTGCCTGCATGTGTGCCTGCATTCCAGAAGAGGGCACCAGGTCTCATCATAAATGGTTGTGAACCACCATGTGGTTGCTGGGAATTGAACTCAGGACCTCTGAAAGAACAGTGCTCTAAACCTCTGTGCCATCTCTCCAGCCCTCAGTATGGTTTCTTTTGAAAGTACTTCCCCCCCCCAGATAAATAATTAGCATTTCATTGACATGATAGATTTGTAAATTCTTCTATGGGTCTTTTTGGGTTGTAGATATTTTCTTGTTTGTTTTTGAGACAGGGTTTCACCATGTAGCCCCCTGGCTGATCTGGAACTGTATGTGCAGATCAGGCTAGTCTCCAAAAACTCTCAGAAGTCCATCTGTCTATCTGTCTTCCTCCCAAGTACTTAGATTAAAAGCATACACCACCACGCTCAGCTGAATTGTAGATATTTGTATAAATTACTCTTGAAGTTCATAGGTTACCTTTTAGTTTTTGGAAACAGGCTTCAAACATTCTTTGGAGACAGGAAACTATTTTTTAGAGAGAATCCAATTTATTTTTGGGTAGGTTGGGTACCTTTGAATTTGGGGAACTGATACAACCTGATTATACACATGGGAGTTTATATGTAAGTTAATTATACATAGAACAGCATTATTTCACATATATAGTAATTTGGTTTCTTGGACTTTTATATAACACTCATATTTAAAGATTCTAAAAATCGCATGTCTGATAATCATTACTAATTTTATGTTGCAGAATGTGCACATTTACTGTTGGCTCACAATGCTCCAGTAAAGGTGAAAAATGCTCAGGGATGGAGCCCTCTGGCGGAAGCCATCAGCTATGGAGACAGACAGATGAGTAAGCAGTACTTTAAAGATACAAATTGATGTGTTGAGGTAGTTTTTATGTGGTTTGACTTTTACTCAGTAATGTGCAAACGTACACATGAATTCTCCATGACTCGGGAGGGAACTCCTGCATTAAGTAGCAGGAAGAGTTGAGTTTTGTGGGAAAGCCTGCTCATCTCCTCCTTGAACCATTTGATGTTTTTGGTACTAGGGCTGTTTTTCTTTTTTGAAGTCAAGAATCTATTATCTTTTCTGGCAAATGATTACTTTAATTACTGGCTTACTAATTGAAATAAAAATTAATAGTGGTGCTAACGGCACTTACCTACTTTCAGTGGTTGTAGACTTTCCTGGAAGCTAGGAACTGTGCTGTCTCTTGGTTTTGTCTCTGACCAGTATCTTGAATTCTAATTGTTCTTATAATAAAAACCCGGAGTTGGATATTAGGGGGAAAAAGATGAAAGATTAGAGAAGCAGAGCAGCCAGCCACTAATTCTTGCCTCTACCTCAGACTGAAAGGGTGATCCTGTCTCTATGAATCCTCATACCAAATGGAATGCCATGAGCTCCTGTCTCCTCCTGCCTTATAGTCTTCTTTCTGCCCAGCCATATCCTGTCTCCACCTTCCTGGTGCTGGGATTAAAGGCATATGATCCCAAGTGCTGGAATCAAAGGTGTGAGCTCTGTGTCTCTTTGTGACTTATTCAATCTTGTGTAGCTCAGGGTGGCCTTGAACTCACAGAGATCCATCTGCCTCTGTCTCCTGAGTGCGGGAATTAAAAGTGTGTGTGTGTGACCAATGCCTGGTGTCTATGGCTAACTAGGGGCTTAGCTCTGCACACTTGAGCCATTATGTTTCCATATCCTAGAGCTCTTTCACAGAGCCTGATAAATTCAGGGCCTGACTTAATGTGCTTAGACCTACTCAGGGCTAAAGATTAATGCTGCCCCCTGCTGTTGTGCCTGCTGGCTCCCTCAGAGTGATCCTGGGTTGGCACAGTAGCTATAGCCTCCCCATTCACCATGCCTGGCTGTTGGGGTTAGTTCCTGATTAGCCAAACCATCGCCACCCCTAACAAAACCTTTTGCTGGGGGATAATTACCTACCCCTGAATCAGGCTTGATTGGCTTCACTTGTATTACTCTGCCTGAGTGTCTTCTCTGAGCTGCTGCTCTGGAATTAAAGCCTTCCCTGGGCTCCTTAGCTTTGGCTTCCTATTTTTTCCTTAGGCACAGATACCACTAAAATTCAACTTGGTGAACCAGTGAGTTTTATTGCTACTACTTACAGGAATATGGGTGAGGGGTCACTTAAGACAGCTTCATCACCAAAGCCCACCCAGTTTAAAAAGCTTGGAACTTGTAGCACCCTGCACAATCTGCAGGCAGATTGGAGGTGTCGTTTCCAGGTGTCTCAGTTGATCTAAACTTCTTTCAGGTGGCACTGCTGGTTTTTGCTTCTTACAGGCAGAGCTGGTCTGAAGAGTCGTCTTTGCAGACTTAGCTTGACTTAGCTCCATATGAGAGGACTCTCAGCTTTTATTATTTACTGGCTTTGGATCTGCTCAGTTTTAGGATCTTCCTGGAGCTATTCTGAGTTGACCTTTCTGCTTACGTAGTTTCCTTTGGGATAGAATGCTTTCATTGCCAAAAGAAACAGTTATGCACATTGTGCCTCCTCATTTTTTGCAAGTATAAATATACAGGCTTTAATCTGGATTATTGGAAGCAATTATCTGGATTTAATCTGGATGACTGGAAAAATCATGTTTATTCAAGAATTGTGTAGCATTGAGTACTTTTAGGATACTTTGTAGTCTTCTGTGCTACATTTGGGATTTTTCTAGATACTTTCTTAGAATTCAGTTCTGTGTGTAATCTACATATTACATATGTGAATTGCCTGAATTTCTTGGGCAACTTTGAATGATGAGGCTATATTTGACTGTAAAATGTAATATGTGATGTTAATACTGTGGTATTTTAACAGCTAATTTGGCATGTGTGCTTTTTATTTTGCATTGACAGTTGTCCTTTATGGACAAAAATCAGAAACCTCTATAAGGTAAACAGGCCTCATCTTAACACTATTTCAGGGGAAAGGTAAAGTGTGTGTATTCAGGAGTCTGTCTGAAGGTCTTTGTCTGATGCTCTGACCAGCTACTCGAGTGAGGGCTTTGGGGCTTCCAAGGATCTTTTGTCCACAGTAGAATTGTCTGTGTGCATTAAAGTGAAGAAAATAAAGCATGATTCTTTGTTATTTTGAGTTTATCATCTGTGAGGAGAACCAGGGAATATTTCTTACAGAAAACCAATTTTAGGACATCTCTGTATTCAGTTTTATACATCACTGCAATGTATTGCATAAAATAAATATTTAACTCCTAATAATCCCAGCACTTGGAAGGTACAAGCAGGGATTTGTGAATTTCAGGCTAGCCTGGACTTCTTGTCAGACCCTGCCTTATGAAAACCCAAGTTTAAAAAAAAAAAAAAATGAAGTGAAAACTCAAATATTTAACTGTTAAAAGGAGACTTGATTGAACCAGTGGTATTTATTATGTCAGTGTGAAGTTGTATTTTTGATGTTGTTTGAGGAGATGGCTCTTAAATCTTTATTTAGGTCAGGCAGTGGTGGCTCATGCCTTTAATCCCAGCACTTGGGAAGCAGAAGCGGTCTACTCAGAGAAACTGCCTCAAAACACCAAAAGTCTTTATTTAATTGTGTTACCTTGAAAATTTCTGTGGTATAGGCAATTACATTTTTTTTTGATAAATAAAATATATACATTATTAGTGAAAACTTTGTGATTTACTTGTCTTTTAGTTTAATTTCTGCTAATTTTGCTAATGTTTTGTGTTGTAGAATAGGCAGTCAGGGCTAGGAATGCAGCTCAGCATAAAATTTATAATATAATAATAATAATCATGAAGCTCTGAGTTTGATTTCCAGCACTGCTTAACCTTGGGCATTTGAGCACTGGGGAAGTAGGTGGAGATCATGAAGATCAGAAGTTAAGGCTGTCCTCTGTCACATGGTGCCTGCAGAAGACCTGGTCTCCAAAACATAAAAAAATGAAAAGGGAAAAAATTCACTGAATGCTAAACTGCTGTTAGCATTGTCAGGGTATTTAATTTCACTTTAAGATTTCGAGGTTATTTTGGTTTTCTTACCTGAAAGTGCTTACCTAGTGAGCAATGATGGCTTAGGGGGGAAGTGGATATAATAACTTCATTTCATCTTAGCCCTTCTCCCAGAATCCCCAGCTTTTCTTGATGCAGACAGCTATGGCTTGTTGTCTTGGTCTCTGCTTGTCTTTGGTCTCTAGGGCTTGCCTATAGTTTGTGTGGTTTATGTCATGGAATACTGGTTTTATGGTAGTTTGAGTATTCTTTTGGGCACTGTCTAAATTTTGGTTATAGCGGAATCTGTGCTGATTTGCTGTCTACCTAGATCTGGCAGTCCCCTTCATTGAGGCTTTGTGTGTGTGTGTGTGTACAATTTTTTTTTTTTTGAGACACATTGGCACATTTTAATTAATTATCCATTGTTCTTCCTTATACGAGCTTTTTGAGATTTTTGTCATGTGACCTCTTCTATGCACACACATGCTGTACACACACACACACACACACACACACACACTCACCTATACATAAATAAGAAAATCTTGTAAAAAGTTTTATATTGGGGACTTTTATTTACTACTACCCTGAGTTTTTAAAAATTTTACAACTTTTATTTCTTTAAAAAAGAAGAGGGATGAGAGTAGCAGGGTGGCTTAATGTGTGAAGGCCCTTGCCACCTAACAGTTAATTCAAGCGTGGACACCTGAGTTTAATACCTAGAATCCTCATAAAGGTGAAGGACAGAGCTCTATACACATTTTACATCCATACGCACTACACATTATACAAGATGCACTCACAAGTTATATATACCCACATGCACCCCAACAATATAATGCAAATTTTAAAAAATTTAAAAACCAGTGACATTCATTGTAGAAAATTAGTAGTTATAGTATACATAAAGAAAAATACTAATCAGTTGTTTTCTTTAAACTCTAGTCACAGCTCTTCTAAGGAAACTCAAGCAACAATCCAGGGAGAGTGTTGGAGAAAAACGACCTCGGTTGTTAAAAGCCCTGAAAGAGGTAAGCTAGGCGTCTTTAAACAGTAGTTACAAGTGTAGTTTTAGAAAACGTGAGTCTCTCTCTCTCTCTCTTTCTCTCTCTCTCTCTCTCTCTCTCTCTCTCTCTCTCTCTCTCTCTCTGGGTGGGTGTGCGCACGCGGTAGGTGTGTGCAGGTGCAGTGCCCAGGGAGGCAGAGGGCATTGATTTTGTAGGCAGTTGTGAGCTGCCCAGCAGGGGTGCTGGGGACTGCACTTGGTCCTTGTAAGAGCATCAGGTGCTCTTAACCGCTGAGCCTCTCTCCAGCCCTTAAAGCAGTATTAAAATGCAGTTAAAATCTTATAAGGGTCGTTAGCTAAAAGTTATTTTTAAGTAATTGAAATAAAATTTTGGGGTTATAAAGTGTGGGTGTTATTGGTAGAGACACTATCATTGAATTGGGGAGATGTTACTATGTTTAATAAACTGGACAAAAGCTCTTGAAGAGGTATATCATGGTATCATGGTTGGTAGCCACATCTTTCTGAGGCTGCTGTTCTATACAGCATTTCACTGTGTATCCCTGGCTGTCCTGGGACTCACTCTGTAGCCCGGGCTTGCCTCAAACTCACAGAGATCTGCCTGCCTCTGCCTCCCAAGTGCTGGGACTAAAGGTGTGCACCACTAACGCCTGGCTAGTTTTGTTCTTTTCAAACTATGAAACATAATAAATATAGATAGGAACAATTTCTCATTTCTCCTCTAGTCTTTAGGTCTTAAATGATATCAGGTATTTTGGGGTGGGAATAGGCAAAGTGGTATCAGAGCTTGTAACTAAACTAAAGCGCATTTAATAATTTTTCATATTTTATTTCTCAGTTAGGTGACTTTTACCTAGAACTTCACTGGGATTTTCAAAGCTGGGGTAAGAGTGTGTTACGTTTTGTTATAAAATACGAAATTATAGAAATGTTAGCTTGACACATTTGGTACTTGCTTAGGGAAAATTTATGTTCATTGTGTTTAGCATGTATCAAAAAAATAACAACAACAAATTTATTTTAATTTAATGTAAAGAACTTCAAAACATACAAAGTTATTGGATTATTGGAATACTCAATTTAAGAAAGTTTGAAGTATAGTTCTTAAATTTCTGAGAATTTGATTAAAATTCTTTGTCAATTATTATCTTTCAGTCATTTTACCCATTAAGTGCTTTTAGCCATTGTCTTAACATAGAACTTGTTATTTATGAAAGGCTTTAATTTTGACCTTGTTATTTTGCATCCATTTACTAATTTCTCATAGTAATGGAAGCTTTTGTCCTTTGTCAAATGTGAATCTATTCAGAGAAAATGTCCAAAACCAAAATTTCATATTAATAACCTATACATTTTTTAAAAGCTAACCAAATTTTATTTTATTATTTCTTTCTTCGTTTTTGAGGCAGAATTTCTCTGTATAGCCCTGGCTGTTCTGGAATTTGTTTTGTAGACCAGGCTGGCCTTAACTCACAGAATGTCTGTCTCTGTCACTGCCTCCTGAGTAAAGGCATGTGCCACTACCACTTGACTTAATTTTATTTTTATTTTAATTTGAATATAACAAACTTATTTTTATCAGCATCTGAGTTAACCTTTGTGTTATAAAGTTAATTAAGTATTTAGTGGTGTTTATCCCTAAAATAATTTTTGAAACTATATAATGACAAGACTGTGTAGTATATTCCATTTTATATAATTGTATGTAGTCTGGAAGTTAAATAATACATAGTACATATATATGTGTATATACATATGTTTTGTTTGTATGCTGTTGTATTCTATAATATAAAGTACATTTTGTTATAGACTGTCCATAAATGGGTCATTCTAGATCTTACTAAAATCTATTCAGTAGTAGTATTAAAAAAAAAAAAAAAGTAGACATTTTACAGTTTGGAGGCAGGCCACAGGAGATTGATAAACACAACTCAGTTTGAAGAATTACATTCTGACATTGATAACTTTGATGCAAGTGACACTTCCAGAATGCATTGGGTGTGTGTGCTCAGCTCATCACTCAGTGGAACTTAGGGGCTGGGGAGATAGATGCTCAGCTGGTAAAGTGCTTGCCGTTCAAGCATTGGGACCTGAGTTCTGACCCTTTGCACCCGTGTGAAATGCCGGATGCAGCAGTGTATACCTGTTATCTCAGTGCAGTGAGAGGCCCTGTCTCAAGAACATAGGGTGGGGTTGAGTAGAGCGAGGCACCATCAGCCCTTCACCTCTATGTGTGCACACCTAGGAGGATAGAACTTGATGGGTAAATGGTGTGGTTTCTCCTGTACAGAGGCACAGTGAGCCTAAGTAACAAGGGATACAAATTTGGGACTGAAACTTAAATTCAGCAGCCTATTTCAAAGATTTTTTTTTTGTTGTTTGTTTGTTTGTTTTTTGGTTTGGGTAGCTTTGGAGCCTGTCCCAGAACTCACTCTGTAGATCAGGCTGGCCTCGAACTCACAGAGATCCATCTGCCTCTGCCTCCTGAGTACTGGGATTAAAGGCATGTGCCACCAATGCCTGGCTAAGATGTATTTTAATAAGTTACTGCTGTTTTTCCAAATGATGTTTGGGATTGCCTGTTTACTGTTTAGGAACATGGGGAAGTGACCTCAGGGTGGTGCTTTCTCATCTGTAGTATCACACAGGGGCCTAAAGTGGATGGAGTTAGTTCTGCTACTCTTGGAAGTGGATGGGGTTAAGGGCATGCTTAGTGAATGACATTGACCCTGCAGGTGAGCGGGAGATACCGTCTTGAAGGCAGTCATCAACATTTGGTAAATTAGTAAAATGTTTACTGTGCTGTTTTTTAAAAAATATTTTCCAGTGTCTTAGATTTTACTTTGTAACTGTTTGTTTCTAAATTACAGTGCCTTTGCTTTCCCGAATTCTGCCTTCTGATGCCTGTAAAATATACAAGCAAGGTATCAACATCAGGTGAGGTGATGCACCTGTGTTCCGAGTAAAAGAAAGTTAAGTTTTGGAGGAAGTTTTCCCCAATACTGTAGCACACTCAGACACTTTACTCATGTGAGACCTGTTGGCAGATAAGGAACCAAAGCCACCAACATCCCTGAAGTAAGACGAGCTTGTCACCCAAGCAGACGCCAGCGGTGGAAATGGCCACTGCAGTGCTTCTCTGGTCTTGAACGTGTTTAGGAATAAGGACACCCAAGGAGGACCTGTCCCACATCCCGCCTCCTCTGTGCCTTCCACACCCTTCACTCCCAGTTTCATTGTCCATGCATCTACCTAGTCTCTGCCCGTGCATTGAGTCTTCCTCCTTTTCAGTTAATGTGTTAAGGTGTTTGTTGTTGCTGTTGATTTTGAGACAGAGTTTCTCTGTGTAGCTCTGGCTGCCCTGGAACTAGCTCTGTAGACCAGGCTGACCTCAAAATTATAGATCCGCCTGCTTCTGCTTTTCGAGGGTTGGGGTTAAAAGCATCGACCACCACTGCCCAGCTGTTAAGGATGATTTTAATTATCTTCTGTTCTTTTCCTTTTGTAATATGATTGATAATTAAGGCTATGAGAAGTAAATGTATTTTACTAATTCTAAAATTTTACTTTTGCCATTGCTTATATTTTTTAGCTTACTAATGTAGCAAAATTTTTAATTGTATATTTATAGATTAATACTAATACACATTCTAATTCACATGTCTATACACGATCATAGATATATGTATGAAGTGTGTATGTAGTATATCTCTATATACTTCCAGATTATTAATTTAAGTGTTTAGAATTAAAAATGTTTTGAGGGATTTGATTTTATATACACTTTTCATTTGTAGGTGAGAAGGTTATAGGTTAGAGAAACTAATTTTTAAGTCTTTTATTCTTGTTTATTCAGAAACTACCATGTTAATAATTGTTTCACAGGCTGGGTGTTGGTGGTGCATGTCTTTAATCCCAGCACTTGGGAGGCAGAAGCAGGTGGGTCTGTGAGTTTGAGGCCAGCCTGGAGTACAGAGTGAGTTCCAGGACAGGCTTCAAAGCAACCCTGTCTCCAAAAACCAAACCAAACCAACCAAACAAACAAAAAACAACACTTTCACATTTATGTGTGACTTTTTACAGCAAAAATGATGTGAAGGCTGAACTTACAAATTCCTCCATTAATGTATTTTCTAATTCAGTCTCCTCATCAGAGAAGTCCTGAGTGTGGAACTTCCTCCAGCCTCAGGCTTAGAGATCTTTCATAATCTAGGGAAAAACCTTTGCCATACACCCCACAATCCAGCCTGAGGCTGGAGGAAGTCCCAGGCATGGGACTTCCCTGAAATGCCTGCCCTGACCCTTCAACTTCTGCAGCGAACCTCCTATCAGACTCTCAGTCTTGTGTTTCCTGGGTAATATGTACCCATCACCTAAGGTACCATTTTTGTTGCCCGCACCCCCAGTGTTGGTGATCAGATTCAGGGCTTCACACACACTGGGAAAGTTCAGCCTTCACATCATTCACTTCTTTATGGTGTGTGTACTGTGCACGTGGGGACCACACTCTTTTCCTCATGTGTGCATATGGTGATCATACTTGCTTCTTAATGTGTACGTGTACCATGCTCATGGGGACCATACCCAGTTTTTTTGTTTTTTTTTTTTTTTAATAATAAAGGCTTTTTTTTTTTTTTTTTTTAATTTTAAGACAGGGTTTCTCTGTAGCCCTGGCAGTCCTGGTACTCGCTCTGTAGACCAAATTAGCTTCCAACTTAGAGATAGTTGCCTCTGCTGAAATGCTGGCTTAATTAAAGTTAAAATATGGTATGGATATTGTGCATGTATATTGTGACTGTTACCTGTGGAGGCCAGAAGAAGATGTTCATCCCTCAAACTAGAGTTTCAGATGGTTGTGAGCTGCTATGTGGGTGCTAATAATTGAACCTCAGTTCTCTGCAAGGGCAGCTAGTGCCCTCTTAACTACGAGCCATCTTTCAACCCCGATACATACTTCTTTGTGGTGTGTATATGCCATGTGTGTGGAGACCATACTTGTCTCTTTGCTTTAGTTTACACCTGTTGTTCTGGTAAAATTGGTAGTAATATAGTCTTCACCCTTAAAAGTTTTGATGTTAAATTGTATATAGCCTTAGTTACTGTTAATATAGCATATGAATTTGGCTTCATAGTTGAATTTTTTCCTGTGTTCAGAAATCAAGAATTTATTGTTTTGCTTTGTGATAAAACTCAACAAGTGAACAAAATAATGAATTCTTATAGTTGCATTTGGAATTCACAAAGCCCTCACAATGGCTTTCTGAGAGTGTGATGACCCCCTCTTGATAGCTGAACCAAGGAGTTTCTGAGATTAAAGACAGTTGAACAGCGGAAGTGATGATTCTGTACTTGTAACCTGCAGTATAAGCCTTGTGCAAGACCGAGCACTTCAAAGGTGGTGGTAAACTCTCTAATTCCAGTATTTCCCAAGTAGTGAGCTATAGAATGTCTGACCACCCATTCAGGCATCCCACGGCCAGGTTACCGATAGAGTCGGTTAACATTCAGATGTGCAAGTCTAGACGTGCGGTAGAGATTGATTTCCATCCTAGCTTAATTTCTGTTGCTGTGATAAGAATGTCCTGGCCGGGGCTGAATGGATGGCTCATTGTTTAAGCACACTTACTGCTCTTTCAGAAAACCAGGGGGTTCAATTCCCAGCACCACATCAGGTGGCTCATAATCACCTATGACTCCAGCTCCAGATGTATCCTACATCCCATATGTCTGAATACCTGTACTCATGTGCACGCGTAGACACACACATACAGTTTAAAATAATAATAATAATAATAAATAAAATTTCATTAAGAAAAAAAGAATACCCTGACAAAAACAGCTGAGGAGGGAAAGAGCTTATTTTAGTTACAATTGCAGGGAACAGTCCATCATTGCAGGGAAGTCCCAGTGGCAGGAGGCTGAAACACAGCCAGTCATACCACGTCTGTAGTCAAGGGCATAAAGGAGTACTTACATTTGTGCTTAGAACTCAGCAACATTCTCTGAGCCAGTTGTGGGCCTAAAACCAGAGAATGGTGCCACCTGTTTTCAGAATGGGTCTTCTCACATCCACTAAGGCAATTAAGACAATCCTGCATTGACATTCCTACAGGCCAGCCTGATTTAGGCAGTTCTTCCCAGGTGATTCTAGATTCTGTCACGTTAATAATTAAAGCATATCCTTATAATCTACAAGGCTTTCAGGCTGTGGGAAGAGTGTTTAAAAAGACAGTGTTTGGCTAACCCTGGGAAACTCAACATAAAGGCCCGAAATTTTGCCGTAGGTAGATATGAGATTACTAAGTCTAAAAGGCAGTCTAAGGTTTGTCTCAGTGCTTAGGTGCAATATATGGTTATAAATCAGAATGGTTTTCTGGGTTCAAGAGTGGCCCACATCCTGCTGTGCCCGCCTTGAGTAGTATGCTGAAGAGCTCTCCTTTCTCCTTCTGCCTTCCCTGTGGAGGTGCAGCACGGGAATGAGGAACCAGTTGTATAGGAGGGGGGATAGTACTGCCACGGGGACCTTTTTTCCCCCTGCTTGGTTAACTAAGTGTTCAGAAAAGGGAAATACAGTTAATAGAGTGTGTATTCAAATAATATTTTTGATAGCATTTTAAGCTTAGCTTTTGTCTCTAAATTTGAAGTTGGGCTATGGTATTAACTTAGTTTGAGTTTTAGGAGGCACAAAGCTTACGTAGTTACGACAATTACGAAATTCTGTCGGTTTTCACCTGCCCATCTTTTACAGGCTTGACACAACTCTCATAGACTTTACTGACATGAAGTGCCAACGAGGGGATCTAAGCTTCATCTTCAATGGGGACGCTGCACCCTCTGAGTCTTTTGTAGTATTAGACAATGAACAAAAAGTTTATCAGCGAATACACCATGAGGTGAGCATGTATTATAAATATTTCCCTAAAGGGTTAAACATGTGTTATCTATTTAACAAAACACCATACAGTTGCTTTACTTAACGTGCAACGTGTAAAGTGTTATTGTTCCTCCTCTTGGTCAACGCTTTTCACCCTGAGAGTTGAGCTGATCCCTAGGCCTGTGGCCTTGGCTCTCACACTGAGCCTATGTTGTCTGACCGCTTGAGCTGCTTCTTCACTGACGTCCTCCTTCTGCACAGCGCCCGAACACACGCTCCACTGTCCACCCCGTCTCCTTTCGCCTCTGCCTCGTCTCGCTTTGGCTACATTACCTACTGCTGTATCTTCCCTCATGTGTTCCCTTTTCCTGTGGCAAACGTATCCACGTGTCACCAGAGCTGTGCAGGTTGTTTCTGGGTTTCTTTCTTTGAGGTGGGGAAAACTCTTGAGTTCAGATGCTTCTCCTGTCTCAGCCTCCTGAGTGTCCTGTGATGATTTTAAAGTTCTTCCCTTCATGGTTACTGTTTCTGTCTTCCCACATCATGTTGCGTCTTCTTCACTCATGGTCTTAGATTAGGCTTCATAGTTAATGTTGTGTGTGCACTAATGAAATAGTTCCCTAACTCATACCAAGAAATGCGGGTTTACAGGAAAAGTACGTACAAGAAAGTGTATTCTTGGAGAGGAGTCAAGTGAAAGAAGTCACGAGCAAGCAGGTCATTAGGGACAAAGTTCTGACTCCAGTGAGTGAGAAAGTGTTAAGGTTTAAAGCCAGAAAAGTTACCTCACAATCTGCTGCAGTTGGCAACAGAGGGTCACAGGTGTTTTAATAAAGTAAAGATTTGACCAGATTTTGGTGAATCTATTTTAAACATTTTCCTGACCATCACACACCTTCACACCCTACCGCTGTTACACATACCATAACTGCTAGGAGCTGCCAGGTGCTGTGGGTAACAGCCACTGTAGTCATCTGACCCTACAGCTTTTTATGGCACAAGTAACATATGCAAATTAGCATCTCTGTTTCATAGATTAGGAAACTGAAGTTTACAGGTGATGGGTGACAGCTCCAGCATTGCCCAGTCTCTGAAATGAAGTAGAAATTACAGGCAACAAAATGACATGAGAAGATTTTACAGTTACTTATTTGAGGGGTGGTGATATTAGGGTGTGTGTTAAATAAGAGATATTAAGATACACACTGTCTAAGAACAACGGCCTAACTTACTGTTTTCCTGGAAACTGCTTCCTCTCTTTGGGTCAGTGGTATCATAGAAACCCAGAAGCACTTCTGTGAGAACATTCCTGCTCCTTTCTTTACTTAGTCTTTATGTCAGCATTCGCGTTTAGTCTGTTGTTTCTAGAATTTAGATTTGTGATATCCTCTCCTTTGAAGTATTGTGAAAGCCCTGTGTGACCTCCCTGGCTCCCTTTTTGTCTGCTTTTAATTTGTTCCACATTAAACTTTGAAAATAAGGCCATGGGCCCTTTTTATGAAGACATTTTAAAAGTCCGTACCACTTGAAGGGTGAAATTGCAACTATTTCGACTCCCTTCATGTAACCTCACCCCCATTTACTTTCCAGCCTTTCTCTTGGCTTGCTGTTCTTTGATAACCGTAGTAAACTTACAGGTGTCCACATGTGTCCGGTTACTTAAGGCTTCCTTTTTTGTTTATGATGTTTCTATTTCCTGGATCTAGAAGGCCCTTTTTGGATCCTTCGGCCCAAGGCCACCTACTTAGTGTTAATTTTTCCATATGTATGGTTTTCTTTGTTTTGCTTTAATTTAAACAGTCACTTTATTACTTTATATGTATGGGTGTTTTGCCTGCATGTATGTTTGGGTATCCACTTTGTGTCCCTGGTTCCTTCAGAGTCCATATGAGTGTGTTGGATCCCCTGGAACTAGAGTTACAGATGGCTGTGAATTGCCATGTGGGTGCTGGGAATTGAACTTGGGTCCTCTGCAAGAGTATTCACTGCTCCTATTTATGCTGTTACTCTATCTCAAATCAGGTGCCAGGGGGTAGTTTGTTGATAAGAGTGCGTGGCGAGCAGCATAAGGCCTTGGGTTTGATCACATGAAATATTAATCCCAGCGTTTGCTGGTTTGACGTAGGAAGATCAGGAGCTAAAGGTAAGCTACTTAGTAAGTTCGAGGCTGGCCTGAGCTATGTATTTCTAAAAAGAGAAAAAAAACTTTGTTTATATGCCCCTACCCCATCCCCAGCCTCTACCTATCTCCCTGTCTGTTTGGCTAATCTCCCAGAAGGCAATGGGGTGATTTTGGTTGTATCATCTGTTACCTAACACAGCATTTACACCATAGATTGGCATAGAGTCTGGGATACATTGGGACTTTTTAGATACACTCATGAGCTGAATAGAACATTACAACCATGTACTGGATTGCAAGCCACACATAGTCCAAGTAAGTGAGCACAGCCACGTTCAGTGCACTCAGTGTGGAAAGGCCACAACTGAATTTGGCCTGCCAGCTGTAGGCTGTTGGTACTTACTTGTTCTAGAGTCTTTATTAGCTAATCTGACCTCTGTGTAAGTGGCAGCTGTAGTCAGTTCAAGTCACACAGACACGGCACTGAAAGAGAAGCCAGAAAAGAGACCAGAAGAGCAAGTGTTAGGGTCACCAGAGCAGTGATGCTTGCGTGTGCATATGTGTGTGTCCCCTCTGCTGAAGGTATTTGAGTGGTGATGCTCAGGGGTAATATATATGGATGTGTTTATGTCAGGATTCTGAGGATGCAGGGAAATTAGATTCCTACCTTTAGAACAAGAATGCAGTAGGCCTTCCTGTTTGCAGATTAGTGTGGTGTTTGTCTGAAATAATAGTGTTAATATCATGTGAGGATGCATGCAGGCTATGTGCGACATGTCATTTTGTGTCAGAGACTGGAGCATCTCAGGTTTTGGTATCTCTGAGGAGTCCCAGATTCAAACTCTTGGAGATATTAAGAGGGACATTAGTAGTAGTTTTGTTGTAATATGCAAACATAAGCAATGTTTGCTCATTAAATACTTGTTGAGAGAATATAATTAACAGCAAATCTCTTTCATTGATGGGTGTTTCATTTATAGGTTTCTGTTACTAAAGCTTGTCTGAACACAGAAAAGGGTTTAATATTCAGTACCCAAGATGACCTATAAAATATTTGAAATGTAATATATGCATGTTCTTCTTAACCAGTTGCAAGCAAAATATTTAGGAAACTTCCCAGTATTTGTGTTACCCAGGAATTCATTTCACTCATTGTACATTTGCAGTAATGTTTGTTTTTAAGGGTGGTAAAGATGGTATTGGTATAGTTCCAGGTTATTGCTGCTGATTGCTGTAGACTCAGTGACACAGGCACAGTGTTACTCACTTGAAAGTGAGGTGTGAAGAATAGGAAATGGCCATCTGCTTGTAGCCATCGCAAACCTTTGGGCAGCCTTCATCCCCTATCCTCTACCTAATATGAGAGAGAACCTTATTGTGTATCTGCCTGCTTGCTCCCCAGCTCCCACCATGTGGTTCTCTGTCCTAGAAGTAAGTACAGAAATTAGCTGTATGAGTCTGGTGACATGCAATCAATCTCTGGAACCCATGTGAAGATAGAAAGAACCAAGCTGATAAAATTGTCCTTTGACTTTCATGTGTGCATTATGGCATATATGTGCCCCCCAATCATCCACACACAAACCATGCATATACGAATGTATAGAAAAATACCTTAAAAGAAAGAAAAGACACAGCTTAAGCAAGGTTGTTGGTAAGTTTTAGGAGTCATATTTATGACTTCCTTTTCTAATAAAAAGTATTTGGAAAACCCATCTTTCTCCATTGTTTTTAGATAGGGTCTCACGATGTTACTCTGACCGATTGGTTACTCGCTATGGAAGCTAGAATGGCCTTGAACTCACAGAGGTCTTCCTGCCTTTATCTCCAAGTGCTGGGATAAAAGTCATCTTCCACCATAGCCAGTTCCAATTGTTCTTACCAGTTATTGAAAAAGAAAGACTCAGATAACCGTGATGGATTTTTTTTTCTTATATTAGCAAACTAGAGGCTAATTTATCTGCATTTAAAGTAAATAAGGTCTTTGTATAGGATTTTTGTCTCAGGTCTATTTAATTCTTAAAGATTACTAAAAAAAATATTGTTCCACAGGCCATATAGTTCCATAATGAATAACAGTGAATTTATTACATTTACTTATATAATAGTGTGAAAATGGTGTATTTCATGTGCCATGCTTTAAAAATTCATAATTAGTCATAATTCTGAGTTACTAAATAAAATATCAGATATGAAATGTAAACATCCACATAAATAATATTTTATATTATTTAGAAACTATTATATTTTTGTCTTTTGAAACTTGTTACATTTTTGAAGGAATCCAGATTCTTATATTAACTTTCCCCCCAACCTAGGAGTCAGAGATGGAAACAGAAGAAGAAGTTGATATTTTAATGAGCAGTGATATTTATTCTGCAACTTTATCAACCAAATCGATTTCTTTCACACGTGCCCAAACTGGATGGCTTTTTCGGGAAGATAAAACAGTATGTAAAAATATAGGTTTTTTTTTTTTTTTTTTTTTTTTTTTAAACTTGAAAAATTGGTATGTAATATCACTAAAATAATGATGGACATATAGGAATTGTCTTTTAGGCTGATCTTTCCTGTCTCTGGAATCCCACATAGGTAGTTAGAATTCATAGTTGCATAGTTTGTGTGTAATTTTGGAAAAGCCCAGAAAGTGGTTTGTTTGAACTCTTGTCTGCCTTACTCACAAGGAGTTTAAACATGGCTGCAGCCTTTTTCCAGTGCCTTGTGTGTAAGAGGCCTGTGAAGAGATACACACTTTAATTTATTTTGCTTTAGAGCGCCTGTATCTTATGTCTGCTCATCTTAAGCTTACATCTCTAGAAAAGTATGGTGAATTTAAGTCTCAATGGAAGTTTCTATAATTCCCATCGCATCTATCATCAAGAGACAACATAAGACTACTTAAAATTATGCTAAAAATGTTTCACTTGGCATGGCCTATATGGAGCCAGGAGTGTTCAAACCTAAAACTGGCTTGAGTTATATAATTTTGAATGAAATGAATAATGAAACATCTTAATCAGTGAATACTTACTTATAAGTTAATAAAATAAGTAGCTATAAATTTAACAATAAGAGTTGCATCTGGTAAGGGGCAAAGATTTAATGTTTTCTTAATTATATTTTATTAAACATAATAAGTGAACATAATAAGTTTTTACATTGGAAAAACAAGCCTTGTATTCACTTAAAACCGTAACTCATAGGAGAAAGCAATGAAGGGTGTTGGGGTTGAATGAAGTAAGATATGAGGGAAAAGGAAAGAAAAAGGAGAGGGTGGTATGGTGGGGGCTTTCTTGCTTTAGGGGATTGACTTGTGTGCATATGGGGCTCTGTAGGTTTGAACTGCTGTAACAGGCTGGATACTGAGGGGAGAGTTGGTACTACCTGGAGTCAGAATCTGTGGCCTAGGATTTCAGGGTTTTTGTGTTGTGGGCTTGAAGAATTGCTTTTTCTTCTAGAATCCTTAGTGTTTTCTGTTAAGGTTCAGGGAATTGAATGAGACTCATATAGTTTATAGAGGGAAATCTGTTTTTCCAGAGTCTGTTAATTGAGTGTTTACTGTATTAAAATTGCCACCACAGCAGCATGCTGACCGTCACAAAATTAAAACCATATACCTTACGTATGAAGCCAGAAGACTCCAGTGACCACCAGTCTGTAATCTTGGAACTCTTGGAACTCCTGCAGACAGACCTTTTTAACATTTTCACACATAACTATGTATCTATAAATAATGTGCAGTGCTTTGTGCTGATACTTATCAACATGGTGGTGTCTCAGGCTTTGGAGCTGGCTGTTTAATGAGTGTGTGGTGGGAGCCTCTACTCCTCACGAGTGCTGCTTGCTTGTTTTAGCAGTTTGCAAGTTACATAGTAAGTAAGCTACTACTTTCCCCGCAGCCTTAGTGTTGGCACATTTCAGTCATTTCCTCCATTGTGATGGAATTCATTCATTTTCCACATGCCTTTGCCATGCATAGATAGTACAGGCAGCAAGAATGATACAGCATGATACAGCAGTGGCTGGATCAGGAGCAGCACACACTTGACATTTTTCTTGATATGATAATATATCTAAATTTGATAAATGTTGCTTCTTTATACGGTCACAAGACCTGTTAATTAACTTCCAGCACATGTAAGTTTTACCCCTGAGCCCTCAAAGCCTATTTGTCAACATTGGCACTTAGGACTCCAGGCTTTGGGTCCAGTATTGTAGTGCATTTGTTACTTTGAAGTCTTACTTGTCTGTGTCTGTTCTTCTGGGCAGCATTAGATGGATCACTTCAAGAGAAGATAAAAATTGAAACTGCTATCCACCTAGTGTTACCACTAAGCAGCCAAAGCTCTTGAACAGCGGCTAGGTGACCTTCTTAAGTCTTTGACAGGTAAGGAGGGAGTCAGTATGCCATGGTTCCCATTTTGTAGGTAGAAACCAGTACAAAATGCTTGGCTTCCTGGTAACTCTTACGGAGGTCCTGAAGCGCTGGAGATGTGCTGTGTTAAGGGCATGGCAAGGTGGAGCAGTCAGCCTGGATACAGGTGGAAATGGGAAGCTGGGTCAAGTAAGTTCATAGTAGATAGTTTTATACCTTTATACCCATCTCTGGGTGCTGGAGGTACGGGTCAGTGTCTTACTGGAAAGAACTGCCCGTTTTCTTCTTGTGCCTTTTTTCTTGTCATTTGAGTTTCTGTGCCTGTATCTATAACTTAAACATTCGTATTTATTAGTGAGCAAGGCTACTCTTGTTTTATTTATTTATTTATTTATTTTTTTCAAAGCAGTGAGTAGCAGTAATTTGAAGTTTTATCCTGTCAGAGAGTAGAGAGGGTCCAGTGTGGCATGGACTGTGGATTTTAATTCTGTGTTTCTATCTATAAAATGGGAACAGTGTTACCCCTGACCCCTCCTTGCTAACTCTTAATTTGACTGTTTTGTAAGATTCTCAGATTGTTTTGTGGTGCTTGGGAGTAGGTAATGAAAAAACAACATTCATGCTTCTGTTTAGACTGCCTGATTTGCAGGTTAATTAGCATAAGTCTTCTGTACTTTAAATTCTCCTTTGTAGTTTGGAAATGAATGATTGTATGTTTATTTTCACGTGCATGGTACATATTTACAGAGAACTTTATGATCTCAATGCTTTTAAAGATCTGAGATCAACCTTCCTTTAAACTGGCATTCTGGAATGTTTGATTTTTGTTTTAGGAAAGAGTAGGAAACTTTTTGGCAGACTTTTATCTGGTGAATGGACTTGTTCTAGAATCAAGGAAAAGAAGAGAACACCTGAGCGAGGAGGACATTCTGCGGAATAAGGCCATCATGGAGAGCCTGAGCAAAGGTGGGAGCCTGGTGGAGCAGAACTTTGAGGTGCGCCTCTACTACCTGTCTACTGTAAATCTTCATTGTCTTTGCTTATTAAGAATAGAAAGAGCGCAGGGAGACCTTTGGTATTTTTTGAGTCATACCTGGTCTTTGAGTCTTCATTAGTCAATAGATTAAAGTCATTTTCTAAGTGCTGCCCACTGCCTTTGAGGTTCAACTGCTTCATAGCTCATCTCTAGCCTGTACAGCCTAGGAGCTGTGTGTGGAGCATCTGCTTATTGAAATGCTCTGTGCAGTGAGTGTGGGACCAGGAGGATCAGGAAAAGGAAAGTAGGAAGTGAGAAGGTGCATGAAAGAACGGGAATTGTTCTACCCTCTGATTTCTAATACGAAGCAGATATTGCTTCTTTAAAAAATTTACTGTGTATGCGTGTGTACATATCATTTGAGGGAGACCAGAAGTGTGTGTCAGATCTTCTGGGATTGGAGTTACAGGTGGTTGTGGTCTGCCTGATAAGGATCCTGGGATCCAAACTTGGGTCCTCTTAAAGAGAGAGGCAAGTGCTTCTGATCACTGGGTCATCTCTTCTAGGTTCTTAAATTCTATTTTCTTCCACCCATTTCCTCTGTCAATATCCCCAGATGGTAACTTAAGCTTTGTATGGGAGGCTTTTCAAGTTCCTTGAAAAAGAATGGGAATTAGCCCAATAGATCATGGCTACTTTCTTTTTAAACTAGTACATGGATAGAACTGATTAAAAATGACCAAAACACATCTCACATAGTGGCAGTCACGGCCGCTCTGTGAAGTGGCTGTCGTAGTGTTGTGAATGTGTTTATAAGCATCATATGTATGTGATTGCTGCTGGAGCCACAGTCAGAAATGGCCAGGTGTGATGGTGGCTATTGCTACCCTTTAATATTGGGGTTGAAAACATAGAACACTATAAAACATAAGAAATTCTTGGGTTGTTTGCCAGTTTGATCGCTGCATAAATGTATGTAAAAACTATATGGTCATTAAGTCTACAGTCCTAATTGAAACATAAAGTAGACAAGTTGATTTTCGTAAAATTACACGAATTGTGTTCTGATGTATTTGAATTGTTAAAGGGTCCTTAAATGACATTTTAAGCAGCTGTAATTTTTCAAATTGAAATTAAAGCATAGCTTACCGGATGTAGCTGTAGAATAGAACAGAATGACGAGCATGAAGAACATAAGGAAACTCTGATAGGCTTTTTGTGGCTCAGATATGGTGGGGCAAATTCCGGCTTTGTTTCTGGTGCTGTGAGTGTCTACTGAAGGCTGTTCATCACAGATTATATAGTAGGACAGGAAAACACAGTTTTAGGTTTTTTATTTTGTTTTGATTTTTAGACAGGACCTTCTGTTTCTCCTAAGCAGGCCCCAGATTTCTGATTCTCCTACCTCAGCTTTGTGGCTGTGCACAACAAACCTGGATATTAACCTTGCAGTTGTTGGTGAACATTTAAGATTAGTTGGTCAGTTTCTAAAATCTGTGTGTGGGGCTTTTGGTGATAATGGCATTGAATTTACAGATAAATCCATTGCTACATAAAACTCTGTTTGAATTTCGTTAAAGATTTATTTAATGTGTTATGTCTGGATGTATACCTTTATGCCAGAAGAGGGCGTCAGGTCCCACTATAGATGGTTGTGAACCACCATGTGATTGCTGGGAATTGAACTCAGGACTTCTGGAAGAGCAGCCAGTGCTCTTAACCACTGAGCCATCTCTCCAGTCCTTGTTTATATGTGTGTTGCTGGGCCTAGAACTTATTCATTTGTGTATAGCACAGCTTTTGGATAACCCAGCTATCCTCCATTATCTAGCTCCTTTGACGACGGATCTTCTGAACAACCACTGCTACTGTGAAACAAGTAGCAGTGTGTCCTTTCCATGTGTTTGTAAGGTCTATAGCAGGCTGCTGGAGCAAGCCATAGGTTACCGATTCCAGTTCTTAGTGGGGTGTATCCCTTTGACTAGGGGCATACTAATAAGAGAAGGGGGGAGGGGCGCACATGTCTAATCCCAGCTCTTAGGAGGTGGAGGCAGAGGATAGAGTTCAAGGTTATCTTGGGTACATAGTGAACTTGAGGTCAGCAACAACATCAGCTCAGAACAAAAGCCGGTCCTTTCTCATGCACATTATTTTTCCCTAGCAGTTCTCAGTTTGCACTGCCTCTCTAGTTTAGTTCCTATTGCTGGCTCACCCATCCTGCAGTAATCTAAACTTACATTTAACAGACATTAAAATTTGACCTTAAAGACGGTTAACAGGTAGCTCCTTGTGTTATCTCTCCTATTGCTGTTTTCTACCAGAGTCGGAATAAATATATTGATTCATATTCTTAAGTGTAATTCTCCTTGCTTTAAAATTGTCACTATAAATAAGCTGGGCAGTGGTGGCACACACCTTTAATTCCAGCACTCAAGGAGCAGAGGCAAGCAGATCTCTGATTTCGAGATCAGCTTGTTCTACGGAGTGTTTTAGGACAGGTAGGGCTACATTGAGAGCCTCCCTCCCCCCAATCTCAAAACACAAAACCAAAAAGGTGGAAGCCTCCACAGTCTGTACAGCTGCTTCCTGTGGTTTCATTTGGCCTGTTGAAAGTCAGGCCTTTGAGAGACTGTTGCTGAGGTAAAGTCCAGCCCTCCAGCCCTGCACTCTAACCTGGCCGGTACTTGGTCCTCATGCTCCCATTTCCCAGTCATTGATGCCGTTTCCAGTAACTTAGTTTTGCTTTTTTTTTTTTTTTTCCCCTGCTGAACTGGTTGTTGACGTAGTTTCTTCTTCTGGTGCTTTTTGAAGCCAGTTTGTTTGTATCAGTCTCTGCTTCTGTATGTAGCATAATGTCTGGAAGTTTTTAGATAAATAGTGAAGAAGAGGTAGTGTTAGCTTGATGCTAATATTAGTAAATAATTGTGTTAATGCTAAAATTGCATGGGACTCCCTTTGGACTGTTCTCATTAAGTGTTATGTAGAAGAGGTTAAATGGACCAGCACTTAGTTTGCTGTTCTGTGAGGCATGCTAACATGTTGTCTATCACTCAACACCCCAATCCCAGTAGATTATCTTCTGAGGCAGTTTTGTCTGGACAGTGTGTCCAAGTCCTTGACATCTTACTTAATTGGGAAAGTACACAAACAGCAAAGCAGCAAGGAGTTTTATTTAGAGACAGTAACAGAAACTGCAAAAGAGCAGTGGTCTATTTGAGCTAGACCATGCAGGAGCCACGGATAAATGTTTGGGACTTCCTTTATGGAGTCTGGCTAGAGGAGGGGTATGGTGGCTTTCTGTTTCCAGTGACGTGCTTGAGTTTCTTGTGTATGCCCTTTACCATGATGCATCTGATGTTAAACATTTTGCATGTCTAATCGTGCCTTGGCATTAGATGGCAAATAGGGTTTTCCTACTGTGCATTACCAAGCTGAACATGTTTTAGGATGTGTTTGAGTGGAAGCATAGGGTTATGAAAGCGTTGCTAGGGTGGAGCCAAGTGTATGCATTGTTCCCTGTGCCTCCCTGCCTCAGTATGTTTTAACTTTGCGTTTTAAAATGTGATATACTTCACCCTACATTCTACACTCTACTTGTCTCTTTCTCTTATTGGCAGCCGGTTAGAAGACAGTCCCTTACCCCTCCTCCTCAGAACACTATTACATGGGAAGAATACATTTCTGCTGAAAATGGAAAGTAGGTGGTTTTTTGGTTTATGTTTTCTTTGAATCTTAGGAAGAAAAACTTGTTAAAATAGTCTATTTAGATACAAGAGTTCTGAGAGCATATTATTAATGTATTTTTATCTGAAGCTATTGTATTAATTTTAAGAAATAGAAAGTATGCACGAGAAAGAAAACTCCCAAATTGGTGTGCACTGAGTCTAGAGCCATTTTACATCCCTATGTCAATTATACACACCAACCAGCAAGCTAGAACCTTGTAGGACTTGTTTTAAGGTGGTGCTATTTTTCAGCTTCCCGTGCCGGTTCATCATTGATTCATTGACTCCTCAGCATCTTTCCATAAAACTTTAGTTGTTTCACTAACTCTTGGAGAAGAGTACGCACAGCATCACCGTTCCTTACGTGTGTTGATTAGAAGAGAGGTGAAAGAATAAAGTCTCTCTTTTGAATAAACGAATGGATGTTTCCTTTTGGTGGAGACTACATTAGCTCCTCATGCACTTACCCCTCCCACCCACTCCACTGTGCTCAAGAAGAAGCTGCCTTGTTTTTCTTATTGAAAGGCATGCTGTTACTGCAGGTTTCCCATGTGCTGTTCCAGTGTTAAAGTGTTGGATGGACATACTTACTTTTTACAGTGTTGGGCATAGTCTTTTTGAAAGTGACTTTTTTTTTTGGACTATCCTTTGTTAGGTGCTATAGCAGGTCAGAGGAAACCATCATGTATTGTTCCTAAAAGTAGTATTTATTTTTAAAGTTGTTTTATTCAGTATAGAATTGTTTGAGTACTGATATTTATGAACTTTTATAGTTTTTTTGTCTCATTTCTTAAATAAACTTTGTTTTTAGCTTAATATTTTTGTAGACTAACCCCGAGTATTAGTGAATATTGATGGAGAGTGCTGAGCTCTTAGCAAGGCTCTCTCTCTAACAGTGTGCTGTGTGTTGCAGGGCGCCGCACCTGGGCAGAGAACTGGTGTGCAAAGAGAGCAAGAAGACGTTTAAAGCCACCGTAGCCATGAGCCAGGAGTTCCCCTTGGGAATCGAGTCGTAAGTGCACGATTGATTACAAAAAGTCCTGCCAGCCACCGGTGTTTGAATCTGAGGTGTTGAAGTGTGTGTTTGTGTGTGTTTGTGTGTGTGTGTGTGTGTGTGTGTGTGTGTGTGTGTGTGTGTGTGTGGCGGGGGAGAGAGACAAATCTTGGCTCAAGAGTTTATGCACCTGCCCATACATTTCCTGGTTTACAAAAGTATAATTTTTTATAGATAAATTTTAAATAGTCTAAAGAAAACTATTAAAGCAATACATGCTTATAGAAAAACTCAAAGCATAGAAATTGGTGGGGTTAGAAGGTATTTTCCTTCAGCACGGTGGTTAGACTCTCTTGTCGCCTACAGTTGTGAATGCAGAACCTGAGAATGATTCTAATCTACAGGATTCCAACAGTAACCACGTTTTTGCTTGCTTTTTGTTTTCTTTTTCTTGGAATTTATGGTGATGATGGCCTGCCATTTGTTCTGTTGCTCTTGAATTGGCAAACGCTCTGTTTTCAGCCTTTTTCTACTGAGAACTGAACGGTCGTGCACACCTTCAAATACCCTTCCGGGCCCATCTACACCAGATGTCCTTTAGAAACCCTGAGTTTACAGAGATGAGTGGACAGGGAGGTGGGTGCTCAGCTCACCCTTGACAGGCTGTGCTCTTGGCTCCTTATGAAAATGTGGCTGGGCAGGAGTTGAAGGACCCAGTTATTATTATTTTCTCCTAATTAATTCTCCTTTCAAAATGGCCCGGTAGGCTGTTTTGTTTTGTTTTGTTTTCCCCTCCTTGAAGAGAGCAGGCTCTATAATTTTCAACAAAATTCATTCAGACTCGCTGCCTTTGTCACGCCCAGGCTTTAGAAGGGTAGATAGGATATTGTACAGCGCCCCTATGTAAGTTAGAGATCACACAGGGGCAGGAGCTGAGGCAGTGTGAGAAGGGTATTAGCAGACATGGGGAGACATCTGGGTCCTCTTGCGTCTCGGCTTCCTAATTAAGGATGCACCTGATTTTATAGTGTGCTTGGAGTTACCTCCAGAGATCCCTAAGAAATGAGAAATAGATGCATTAATACATGTGTCATAGGAAGAAGGAAATCAAAGAATACTGCATACAGGAAACAGACAAAAATCCATTCTACAACAAAAGAGACTTCCTGTTACTGCTGTGGAAAAACACATCATGAACATTAAAATCAGTTTAACCAGGTCACTCCTGAGATGGACAACAGACGGAAATGAAAAAGGAAAGGCCAAGGGAGTATGAAACTGAGCAGAGAGCAGCACGGACACAAGCAGACCCCTCAGACACAGCTGACGGTAGCAGATGATGAATGGGTCAGGGACAGGACTGAGCACAGGCTAACTTCCAAGTGTGGCTGAGCTAGTGTTCGAGATATGATAGACAAAGCATTTGATTCCAAAGTGGGTACAAAACAATTGCCATAGAAAATTGCCCTTTTAAATCACAAGGCTTCTTTGCTTTGATAGGGCCTCGCTCTTGCCCAGCCTTTGCTGGAACTCCCCTAGTCTTCATGCTTCAGGATCCCGAGTGTTGGGGTCATGTGAATTTACAGGTGTGAACTACTCCACCAGGTTCTAAATAAACATCTGGGTTTTGTTTCTTTGGTATAATCTTATTTATTTATTTGTAGTGCTACAGATTGAGTCTAGGACGTTGTTCGTGTTGGGTAAATAGTCTACATCGACCTCTATTTTGTAGCCTAGCCCTCAGTTATTAAGAAACAAATTTAAGTCATGTGGGCAGAGAAAGCGTACAAGTCACACACCCTAGTTTTGACACATAGGTAAGGGTAAATTATGCTCAGGCCCACAATCCCAGCTGTCTGGAAGACTGAGGCAGGAGGACCACAAGTTCAAGGCCAGCCTGGGTGAGTTAGTAAGAATACGTGTCTCAAGATTTTTTTGGAGCCTGTCCTGGAACTAGCTCTTGTAGACCAGGCTGGACTCAAACTCACAAAAATCCGCCTGTCTCTGCCTCCTGAGTGCTTGGGATTAAGCTCAGTGGTGAGTGCTGGCCTTGTATGTCTAAGATCCTGGGGCCAACTCTCTGCCCCAGGGAAAAAAGTAAAGGAAACCAGTGTGGTCTGTGTGTCCACTTGCTGCTTACTCAGTAAAGGAGAGCAGTGATTTAATGTGTTGAGCTGTTGCTTACACTGCAAGACACTGTTGAAAGAAAAATAATAGTAGGTGCTGGGATAACCCAGTCATAGGATCAAAGGAACTGTCTTATGCCTGTGACCCAGGACACTGGTGAACCCTGGAATCTAAGCAGAGGGATTGGTGGTGTGATCTGAAATGTGTGTGAGCCAGGATCATAAGTAAGATTAACCCTTCTGACCTGACGGTGAAGCTCAGTCTTGGAAGTAGACGTTCACTTCAGTCTTACATCCCAGAAGCACTGAGGAGTTAATCTGCCTCAGTTTGTCTGGTTTGAGCTGTGCACTTCAAGAACAACCTTAAGGACTCAAAACCATGGAAACATTGTTATTCTTTCATCTTTCAGATTATTGAATGTTCTAGAAGTAATAGCACCCTTCAAGCACTTTAACAAGCTTAGAGAATTTGTTCAAATGAAGCTTCCTCCAGGCTTTCCTGTAAAATTAGGTAAGACAAAATTTCAGGTGTAATTTTAGTGTTTTGGTTTTTTATTCAAATTTAGTAAGGTATATATTTTAAAGGGCAATGAATATACCGGTTGTTTATTTTCAAGGTTCTGTTATTATTTTAAGTGCATTGGTGTTTCTGTTTTGTTATATGTATAAAATTCCTGAGAAATACAGTAGCTGATGCAAGTTTTGATTTCTCTGTGATTTAAATGAAATGAAATACAGAGGACATGGAAGCACTCTCTTGCAGCAGAGTGTGTGTGACTATTTCAGTTACTAAAATAAAGAAGTACTGAGATACACAATGAAACAAAAGATATGCAGGCTGCACAGCTTCAGTAAGTAAGAGACATTTAAGAGACCTTTGCAGAGATATAGTTGGCACACTAGTTCCTATCCAAATTTCTGGAAACAAATCATTCAGTATTTGCATAGGAAGTAGAATTCTGCATTAGTTTCCTAGGTCCTTCCTAGTAGCTGTCATAGAGTGCCTTCTGTAGCAAGATCCCATTGTCTGGTAGTTGTGGAGCTGGTGTGTCAATCAGACCAGCATTATCATCAAGGTGATAATTTTGCTGACTTCTAACCTGGTACCTCTTGAGCTTCAACTGATCCCACATGTTGAAGTGGTATTCAGTTTCTGGTGTTCTTTCTCAGGGCAAGGAATGCTTGGTGATTCTTGTGTAGATGTCCCTGCAAGAGACCCTAAGAGGCCAAACTTGGGGGTCATTACAGCTGACCTGTTTTGACAAGGAATCAGTCACAGTGTATTAGCAATTATTCCCGTGGGTTGATCCTAACTCCATGTCCCAGCACTGCAGCCATGTGGTGCAGGTATGCCCATGAGCAGAGGGACCAGAAGTTCCTCTAACACACTCCTGGTCTGACAAAGGCACAGATACCTTCTGTGGTGATATTTTGTTTATAACAAATAAAGCCTACCTGAAGATCAGACTGCAAAGCTAGCCACAGGCATAGAGCCAGACAGTGGTGGTACACACCTCTAATCATAGCTGCCACACTAGTCAGCAATAGAGGCCAGATAATGGTGGCATACACCTTTAATCCTAGCACTCAAGAGCCAGAGGCAGCCACCCTGGGCTACGAATTGATCCAGTCTAAAAGAGAATCAGCTCACACAAAGGTGATCTCAGCACTGGGGATCCCATGCTTTTAATCCCAGCACTAGAGAGGAATGTAAGGCTGGAGGAGACAGGAGGTCATTGCAGTCTGAGGAACAGTACAGTCTGGAGATGCAGTCTGAGGACAGGATCACCCTTTCAGTCTGAGCATTGGTAGAGTTAAGAGCTAGTGGATAGTTGCTTTGCTTCTCTGATCTTCAGCTTTAATCCCAGTATCTCTCTCTGGGTTTTTACTATTTGTGCAGCATACTTCAGTGCAGAAAAGAAAGATAGTTTTCTACTACACGTGATGAGTGGTGGGACTTCCATAAACGGAAATGGCCAGCCAGAGTGTAGGGGTCCACCCTTTAATCCAATCACTCCAGAGGTAAAGGCAAGTGGATCTCATGATTCCAGGACACAAGGACAGCCAGTACTATACAGAGAAACCCTGTCTTGAAAAACAAAACAACACCCTCGCCCCCCCCCCAAAAAAAAAAGGAAAGAAAAAGGAGATAAAAGAAACTCGGCCTTCCTTTCTTACCTTAGTTTGCACAGAAGTTAATGGTCATAATGTTAAATGTGAAATGTAAAATTACCAAAAATTTTAAAAGAAATCTAAGGATCTGGGTTAGGAAAACTCTTACAAGCCATACAAAAATAATTCAGTCAGAAGGCCTGAGTTTGCCGACTCCCTGGAGACTGTGCCAATAGGCAGCAGTGGAAGCTAGGTGCTCCAGAGTGCCTGTGGTGATTGTCTCATGAAAGCTTTTCCCCTCCTGTTTCTGCAGACACAATACTAAGCACATAACAGTAACTTTATTGTGTTTCTCACCTTGGATAGACTCTTGGGCTAGATAGATGGATCCACTTCAGAGGCTGTTCATGGGTGAAATCTGAGGCCCCATATAAAGGAATCAGACCAGCTTCTGCCTGGCCTGCTGTTTCCAGGAGCAGAGCAGAGCAGGTGAATGTACTCTGAAGATTCACTTACCATTTGGGCCAGAAACTCTTGTATGTGATTGCTGTGCTCAAGTAGTGTGACATTACCCAGTGGATAAGATGTCAGCATTTAAAATCAGGGCTTGTGCCACTGTGGAAGGCAGAGCAGCCCAGGGAGCGGCTGAGGCCCCTGCACAGGCTTTGGTGGATGCAAATTGGGTCGCTCTGGAAATGCAGTTTTGTGAAGGAGTGCCACAGATGGGCATCTGACAGCATCTCACTCTTTGTTCTCCAGATATCCCCGTGTTTCCCACGATCACAGCCACTGTGACTTTTCAGGAGTTCAGATGTGATGAATTTGATGGGTCTATCTTTGCCATCCCTGAAGACTACAAAGAAGACCCGAGTCGTTTTCCTGACCTTTAACTCATCCAGAAGAACAAGAGGCTCCGGGCGGCAGGGACAGAGCTTCTGTAAGCAGAGGGTCGACACATCAGTGATGTGATGAGAAATGGACCTCTTGTAAAACGTCCGAAGCGTCCTGGTGTGCCATTCATCTTTTCAAAGTCACTTCCTGTCTGTAATAGTTTGACACCCAGTGACCCTGAGACCTTCCTATGTAAAGCAGCTGTGAGTGCTGTGGTTTTGTTTTTAAAGATTTTTACACTTCCTGTTGGAATATATATGCATATAAATATATCTATAGCTATATCTAAAACACTCCTGGACCATTAACGTAAATTCAGTGTCTTAAGAGATATGAAACCCCTTGAAACGTGTCACCTTCGTCCAGGGTGACATGTATAATGTTCTTTAAAACTTTTTCATCATTATGTAGAGTTCTTTAATTTGAATGTTCAATGAACTAGAAGGAAATGAGTTTTCTGAGGTGAACAGAGCAATGAATGGTAACCATCAGTTGCATTTACAGCCTGCTGCAATACATTCCGAGGAAGTGCTCCCTGCAGGGAATGTGGTGCCCCGCCCCCCAGCACCTAAGTAACAGTTGCATTTACAGCTGCAGTGCATTCCGAGGGAGTGCTCCCTGCAGGGAATGTGGTGCCCCGCCCCCCAGCACCTAAGTAACAGTTGCATTTACAGCTGCAGTGCATTCCGAGGGAGTGCTCCCTGCAGGGATGCGGTGCCCCGCCCCCCAGCACCTAAGTAACAGTTGCATTTACAGCTGCAGTGCATTCCGAGGGAGTGCTCCCTGCAGGGATGCGGTGCCCCCAGCACCTTGGTGCAGCTCATCGTGGTGCTCTTTGTTTTACCTTTTCCAGTGGAAACTGTTTGTTACCAATCTTCCTTTCCTAGAACCTCTTTTTTGTTTGTTTGTTTTTTGTTTTCCTAAACTTGAGTATAAAGGTTCTTGTTCTGTTGATAGGTACGGTAACATGCCTACAGCTAGCCCTCTCCCAAGTATCAGCACTTTAAAACAAATTCCAAATTTTTAAACTTGCTTCCTAGTAAGTGCACATAAGACAGATTATTTTTAATGGAATATGGATGCATTGGTGTCAATTTTAAAAAAATACATATTTTGGACAACTATGTATGTAATGCTTTCAAAATAAGGTAAAAACATTTTATATGCTATATTTGTTATAGGCTAAAAGTCCAGAAACATGCAAGATTGACTTTTTTTTAAGTCACAGGAAAATATTTACTTATTTCTGTCTCCAAAATGTTAAAAATCATGCATTATTCATTTTTGCACTTAAATTTTTTCATATTTATTGCAAGATGATTTGAAGGTCCAAGAATGAAAATAAATTAGGAGACTAATGTCTAAGGTATCATGTTCTATTAAAGACTTAGCTAAATGTTTATAAATGTGTCCTGATGAAATGTGTCAAGGATGCGCCTGTCAGGTTGTTATAGTGACCCATAGTTTAAACTTGTTACCGAGATTTTAAAGACTTTTATCGAAGGGTTGACTTACTTAAAAACCCAAAGCATCAGCCATCAGATATTTATCTTTCTACGATTACATCTCACATAGTGATTCCACCTTGTGTATGTTGACATTTTATTACTTTTTATAAGAAAATAATCAAGAGTTAAAAATTCAACACCCTAATCCCTCCAGTAAGATCATTGTAAGAATTGAGAAACCCAGAGCTAGCTTGACGGAATGGAGGTTATGTCCCTGGCATTCAGACCGTGGCTGCTCCAGTGGATTAGTAGCTACTACTCTGTTTTGCTGTCAGTCGTGAGGCCTGAGGATCTGAAGGGCAGTGACCACTGTTGCTTTAGGTTCCCTGGCTCTATAGACCATGTAGGAAAAGATGGTAAATTGCAGCTTGAGACTTAGAATTTTTTACTGTGAATATTTTGCTGTGTAACACTGGAGACGGGAGGACTACTGAAAATCATTGCACTGGATTGTACTACTGAAGATTGTTGCACTGGATTGTTTTGAGACTTGAGTTTTTCTTTAATGAATAGTAGAATCAGATTGTCCATTCCAAAATGTCTTTTCTCTGATCACAAAGAACAAATGTATCTCTTATGATGGTGGGAAAAAAGGAGTTAATAATTAATGCAAATAAACTTTTCACAATATTATATTTTCATGATGTGTCTTTTTAATCCTGTTATTGAATTAAGAATCAGTATTATCTTTTATGTTTTGAAATGTAGGTATGTAAAATTAAATATGTAAATTTAAAAAGTTGAGTAGTAAGGGTCCCGTTTGTGATACTTCATCACTCAGGTGACTAGATACGGGAACCATTTCATGAGCCTGTCATTAGTAGACATTCTTGGGTAAAGAGCTACAGTTTTGTAGACCAGAGCCTAACATAATCCTCATTAGAGAAGGCTGCAGATGTAGAGACCCTCAGGCAAATATTAGGTGGAGTTTGGGGAATTCAGTTTGGGGGGGGGGATTCTAACAGCCAGAGGGGTCAAGGACACAATAAGAACATGACCCACTGAATCAGCTAACCAGGGTTCATATAGACTCAGACTGAAGTGAGTCATGGAATTCTGTAAGGGTCTGAACTAGGTGCTCTGCATGTATGTTATGTTGGTGGTTTTGTGGGACTAACAGCGAAGTAGGGAGGGGATCTGTCTTTTCTTGCTTTTGGGGCCCTCTTCCTCCCACTGGTTTGCCTCTTGCAGCCTTGCTATGTGGGCAAACTGGCCTTACTGTAACTTGTGCTGCATTTGGTTGGCACCCTGGGAGCTTGCTCTTTTCTGAAGGGAAAAGAGCAGTGGGTCTGAGGAGAGCACAGGTTAGGGAGAGGAAACGGGAGAGGGAAACTGTAGTCATATTAGAGAGCATACAACAGGTATCATGCATGGCTCAGTTAAGTACATGTTGATGGTTGGAAACCTACATGATTATTAGCTAATAGCAAGCAGCTGAATGTAAAACTTAAAGCCTGAATAAAATCTGGGTTTTCAAATCAAGTGTAGTGACACATGCATGTAGTCCATCCAGCCTGTCTGGGAGACTGAAGCAGCAGGATCAAGACAACAGCTTAATGAGACCCTATGTCAAAATGGGTAAAAAAGTGGTTAGAGATGCAGCACTTTGGTATGGTAGTCTACAGCAGATAGAGATCTGGTGCTTGACTGGACAGTAGACCCACTTTGCAATCAACTAACAGTCAAATTTGCCCACAGAGAATCAGCCATGCATGACTTGGTAAACTATTAAGCTGCAGGTTTATTTAAAAAAAAAAAAAAAAGTATTCCATGCCAGAGACCTCAGGTAGCATTAGCTGCCATCTACAAGTTTCACAGCATGTCAGCAGTCATTCAGATCTCAGTGTACCAAGGGGCTAGCTTTAGGTAAAAACAACAAAGAGCTGCTCGTTTCAGCTTGCTCTTGAATAGTTCTTCTAACCTCTTTGTCAGTTCAGTGCATTCAAGTCTACAGGCACTGAGTCAACCAAGTCATCAGGCTTTGATGATTTTTTAGTGATTATGACTTTAGAACAGAAACCGGTACCAACACAGAGTAACCCTATCTCCGTTCTCAAGGATGATGCTGACTGGTAGAAATTATGGAGAGCAACATTAAGTTTAGCTTTTGTTTACTTCTTGGGGTGCAGCAGCAGCAGCTCAAGATTTCTGGGGTGTCTCTAGTTCCCCAGTCATCCTGCTGTACACCCATGCGTCAAAGTCACAAGTAACAAGATGGGCCATTTCAGTCTGCTCTGTGGGATCCAGCCCTTCCACTGACTGGATCTTCTTGCAGTACCAGGCACAAAATTAAGTCATTAGAATCAAATCACTTCCTACACACTAAAACGTCAGCTTTTCTGATAGCTGCTATCATGAGTCAGTGCAATGATGGACATTAATTTAGGTTAAAAAAATTTTTTGTTAATGCCCAGCACTAAAAATTACGCTTACTTGCCTTCAGAAAGTTAAGTCAATCTGTATCTAAAATATTGGAAAAGTAAAAACTTCATCTTGGAATAACATCCTGATTATTAAAGATTTGTAGCATTCCACTTGTGACCCTTAACCTTCAATTTCTCATGAAAAGAAAAAGCAAACATGTATCTACCAGTGAGTTTTAAAAGGAAGTACCCTTCTCACATCAGTGGCATAATACTGTACAAAAATAACCTCATAATAAGCTGCCTACTAAAAAAGACTAGACATATTTTTATAGACACAAGATACAGTCAGAGCTCATCTTCCCATAAGGTGCAGATGCCACCCAAGGGAACTGGGTGGCATACCTTGAGCCTGGTGGTTCAATTTCTGGCACTCCCTGTACTGTTTAGTTTTCAAATAGGAGCTGGCTCCAATCCACCAACCCAGGCATGTACTTCTACAGTTCATGCTTGCCCACCAGCTCCCTGAGGCAGCTTACCATGGGAACATTATCTTTCACAAATTACATAGCCTGAAGTTTTTCATGACTAAAAACTAAGCAAAATAAATGACAAAACATTTTTCTAACAAAACCATTTTTATTTTAAAATTGTTTTACCACCAAATACAGAGAACTCAGTGTGGTGGCAGTGCCTATTTGGGTCCAACTGTTTGTTGGCTAAGAGGCATGGGGTGCCAGGCCAGTGCAGCACCAACTTTGTGCAGACTTCACCACAGAAATGTCCTAAATAAAACTGCCTTCTGGCAGCATCTTAAGTCATTGGCACTGGCTTAAAACAAAACTGTAGAGAAGTAAACGTCTGCACTAAGAGAAGTCACAGACAATGAAATAAATTTTGGATATTGATTTGCCCTGGGAATTGCCAGTATTTTAATTGTTTCTGACAGAATTGGTCATACTGACACAAATGTACCTAGTAAGTTTTAAGCGAATGTCACCTATATTCAGCTTTGTTTTAAAAATGTAGGGGGCATTCAGATCATAAGTGGAATTTGATGCATCTGTCATAGACCAAATTCCTGCTCATAAAATCTTTAAAAAGTTACTCAACTACAAACTGTACAAATGCTGCTTTTCTATACAGCATTCAATTTAATAAGTTATATTTAAAACTTGAAGGCTATACCCCAGTCTCAGTCTCCCTCTCGGCTACCCAACACTAGCCATTATGTTTAGTATTGTAATACAATACAAACTTGTGACCAACAACTTCTATTATTTCAGAAAAAGCAAATTTCCGTAATTTTAATGAAAACATAAACTTACTAGGTAGGTATAGGCGAGCTCATATTTATCCCCAAGACACTGTTGCATGACACCAGTCCTACATCCAAAACACGAGTTAAGCCATAATTTAGACAGAAGGTATCGTTGACAATTCTGCTGGCATCTACCCCGAAGAGGTAACGATATACATTCAACGTGTGAATAAACACAATGCAGTTCTACAGGCGCTTGACTTGTGAGTTTAAGGGTTTTATTATCAAAGTCCTGTAAAACAATTTCAGAAACTGTACATCAACATGGCACAGACGGTAGCCTACTTTTGTCTTTTACTGCACAAAAGTGAAGCTTTAACTCCTGTAACTAAGAAAACAGTTACCTACCTAATCTGCATATAACATGGAATCACTGTGCATAAGATACTACTGCAATCAAAGTAACACAAGTTTATTGGTTTTTGTACAACTTGAGATCAAATAAAAGTACATTATCAAGATTTGTCGTATTTTAAAAGCACATGAAGGTCATTTTAAAATGCACCACCACCTCCTCTTGTTCAACAGTGAGCTTTAAAAACTAAACAAAAGTTGAAAACTGAAAATCAGGACGAGGTTATTTTCTCCTAGTGATGGGCTGGATAAGCAGGTTGCGTTCACTGGTAGAGATGTGAAATAAATTATTGGAAAAAAAAAAAAACCTAAGTAGCTATGAAAATGTGAACAACTCTAATTCAAAACATATTTTTACAGCCAGTTTTATTTGAAATTTTTTTCTGTAATTTAAAGCCTACTTAGCCATCAAAAAAGGTTAGTGCATATATAACCTTTGAAAGTTAAACAAAGCCACAAAAATTTAGCCACAAGGCTCAAAAGGCTTATCTATCACAAATGCTTGTTTCCAGATGTAACTCTAAGAATGTTAATTTGTCATGTCAACAAATAAGACCATTAACTAGGTCACCATGTTGGAGGGTTTCATGACATTTGGGGTAACATGCAATCAGTGCATTCCCTACGTGGCTCTATCACGGCAAGGACTCAAACTCTAGAAATACTCTAAGTGAACGCACTGAGAATCATACGACAGAGACAATCCATGCCTGCTGGAGATGCATGCAGCTGTTCATTTGTGTTAGAAGCAGCAGTTGTACAGCTGCTTGGTCACGCAAATGGGTATCACCATGGCAGTGCTGGTCACCCAGGTACCACTTTCTAAAAGCTTTTGCTGTAAAGAACTAGAGGTCACAATTGGGTGTTCTGCAACCATTGGTAATGTGCAGCTGTATACACCGAGGTGAGATGAACACACACAGCATTAGGTGTCACCAGGGATGATACCGAGGCCCATCTACAGCCGGCTTCAGGGGCTCAGTCACTCATGTCCATGTCTTCTTCGTGGTGGTCATCCCCGTTCACTTTGGACTCTCGCAGGTCGCCCACCCCCTTCTCCACAGAGCACTCCTTTGTTTTAGGGGACATTGCTTCCGACGGTCTCTTCTCCTCTTTCTTCTCCTTCTCGCTGTCATAGCCCTGCTCCTCTTCATCATAGTCTCGTGTCACCTGCTTTGCCAAGGAGAATGGAGAAATGAGCTTCTCCAAAGGACAAGCACTTCTGAAGGAGCGGCAGCGCCAGAGCGGCAGCGCCCTGGCCTGTGTACTTACTTTGACGTCTTTGTCGCTCTCAGACTTCCTTTCTCGCTCCTTCTCCTTGTCTTTGCTCCTCTTCTTTTTACTTGTTGATCGTTCCCTTTCATCTCTGCCTTTGTCCTTATCTTTCTTCTTTTCTTTTTTATGTCTGAAACAACGACAGTTAAATGTGCTTCTTAGAGCTACTGTTACAGGCAGCAGGTCTCACTCTGCTCAGATGACAAAGATTGCAAAGGAGACTCATCTGAAACATCGGGCAACCAAACAAACAATTTAAGCTGGATACAGGCCTAAAGTGGTAGTACCCCACCCCCACAAGTGCACACTGAAAATCTCTTAGGGATTTAATTCCCCCAAAAGAAAACTGAAGCTTATATTTGAAAAAAAAAAAAAATCTATCAGTTTAAAAACTTCATTAGTCCCAAACAGGAATCACAGGTATAAACAATCGATACCCCTACCTCCGTGGGGATGGAGAGCGGGACAGCTTTCTTTTAGGAGACCTGGGCTTTTTAGGAGACCTTGTACCACTCCTGCTTCGCCGCCGCCGTCTCTCCCTAGGATCACAAATGTGCAAACTAGGCTTTAAAATATAGTGTGGTCTCACCAGCTCCACCAGAAACTTCCACAGCCAAAGACCTACTTCACAGTACTGTTTCAGGGCAAAGCAAGCTCAAGCTTAAGACTAATGTGCTGGATAGATCTGGAAGGAGCTGAGGAAGGTATAAACCCCTTATCACATTAAATGCAAAAAATAAAAAAATAAAAACAAACCAAAAAAAAAAAAAAAAACCACCTCTACTCTAGCACTCTGGAGTGTTTTCACTTTCTTAATGGTATTTTGGAGACAGGGTCACATAATACAGTCCAGGTTAGCTTTAATTGGCATTCTCCTGTCTTAGCTGGGTTTGTAATGGGTGTGTGCTGCCATTCAGTTTGGTGGTTCTTTTAAAAGGAAAAAAATATTAGCCTTTCATCTAGTGCTGCAGTTTTCTGTGCCTCATCAGAAACAATACCAAATTCAAGGCCACCAGAACTTACTTTAACTTTCTTCTCCAAAATTTACAGTATCGACTCTTGAGTCTTTGATTTACTTTTCAGTGTTTGAGAAACAGCAAAAACCTTCTGGCACATTCATATAAGGTAAGTGTGTCACACAAACACAGAAAATACAAGCATGTCTGAACAACATCTGATCCAGTTGAACATTAAGAATATATTTTCTATGAAGTTTGCCACATCATTTCCATTTCCAGTATAATAATTTACATACAGGGACTAAAGTCTTAGAATGACATACTAATCACTTAAAATGCCTCCCACTCATTTATTACAAAACTACTACATGGGAAAAAAAAAAAAACATTCTTGAGCATAACACTTGGAAATGGTGAGCATCACAATAAAGCTACCCTAACAACTTAGTGTGCTCCAGTCATCAAAACTTGGCTGTGTAAGCCTCATTTTCTCATCGTTAAGGTATCTGAATGTGGACATCTGTGTCCTAATGAAAAAGAGTCACCATTCAGGCCTCAGGGGCTACTGCCTTACCTGCTTGCACTCCGAGAGCGTCTGGCTGTACTGTAGCTTTTTGGTGGAGTTTTGGATCGTTTCTTTTCTTTATCTTCTTTCTTTTTGTCTCTAACAAACATAATTTAATAAAGTGTAAAGGACTAATACTTCACTCCATGTAATTCTCACTCTTGTTATGACACATGGCATTGCGTGGTCTCCCATTCTCTTGATAGTCCACCGAGAACTTATCTCCAATAGTGAGAAAGAACGCTAGTTAACTTCTTGTCTGGTTCTGAGTTCAATGGACTTCACTGCTGTTGGTGGGTCCTTCTCACTTGATTAGTTCCTGAACTCTGTCACAACGTCAGAAACCCATAAGCACCACAGCCAGTCAGTGTTTCCTTCAATGAACACATGCCCAAGACACTCCTATCACAGACTAAGTGAAGTTCCCACCATGTTTTTGCTACTGCATACTCTGGGCTAGTCGGTATTATCTGAAAACTCTTTTGCCACAATGGATAGGTAGGTACTGCAACTACACTCTTGACAGGTCCTTCCCATTTATTCCTACATAAATCCCACAGTACACACTCTCCACTTGTGTCCCTCCCTTCTCTGCTTCTCTTGCCAACAGCCTTTATCACCAACTCTCCTAATGGGCTCCAGGGTACTTCTCAAGCACACCATGCACTCCCTTTAAAGGTACAAGGCTCTCCTTTCTGTGACTGATCAATACCCCTGCATTTGTGCAGCCATCTCTTAACACTGTTCCTTCCCATGTGACTATTTGTTTTCAACACAAAGTTCTTAAGGACTGTCCAATTCCTTCTGTGTATGAAAATAGATCTTTCTCATCAGTGATAAATGGCTGGGGTGGAGCAAAAGGGAAGGAACTACTGTCTTTTAAGACCAGACCACTGAATTAAAAGAACCTGTCCCTGAATGAAAAGATGGTTCTTTTATAAAAGGCACATTTTCCTATTTTTAAACTTATATGTGTATATCTGCATAAACTTTTGTGGACCAGAGGAGTGTTGGGTCCACTAGACCTGGAGTTATAGATGTAAGTCACGTGATGTCAGTTCCGAGAATCAAATGTTTCCAATCACTGATGATGATATGAAGATAAATGAACACAGATAGGTGTCCGCGTGGAGCTCCTTGGCAAAGGACAAGGGAGGTCAAGGAGTCCTGAACCCAGGCCCACAGCAGTGGTAGACCGAGCCAACAAGGTAGGTGACAAGGGTAGCCAAAAGAATTTATTACTAAGAAAAGAAATTCTATAGGGGCTAGAGATGGCTTAGTAATTTAGAGCATTTGTTGCTTTCAGAGGACCTGGGGTTCAATTCCCACCACCCACATGGCAGCTCCTCTGTAGCTCCAGTTCCAGGGGAACCAATACCCTCGTCTGGCCTCTGGGGGCACCAGGCACGCACATGATGCACGTATGTTACACCTTCAGCTTGACAGGAGACAAGAAAATCAACAGTAGCATCCTCAAGCCTTAGCTTCTTTTCCATTTAGCTACCACCCCATACCTCACCCATGCTGTAACAAGAAGCATAGCACTGAGGTCTCAGGAATGCCTGTCTGTATTGTACAAATATACCTGGCTTTGGAGGTGCTCCTTGACCTTCTACCCCTCTCTCTAGAATGAGATCGTCTCCGTCTTGGACTTTTGGATCTCCTTCTACTTCTGGACTTGGAGTGTGACCGCCTCCTTGACCGGCTCCGTGACCGCCTAAAAAATGAAAAAGAGCAGTATGTGTGATGGGAGATGTCATTCTGTATATGTTTCTCATACTGGTTAATGAATAAAGCACTGTTGGCCAATAGGAAAGCAAGATAGGAGGGACTAGGAGACAAGGAGGAAATAGGAAGGAAAAGGAGGGGTCAAGATGGAGAGTCTGGAGAAAGCAAAACCGCCATTCCTCCACTCTCGGTAAGACCACGTGGAAATACGTAGAAATGGGTTAATAATTAAGACAGAGCTAGCCGATAAGAAACTAGCACCTGGCCAATAGCATTGTATCAAATACAAAGTCTCTGTGCATTATTTGGGGCTGGCGCAGCAGCGGGACAAGACCGGCGGCGGGCGGAAAAAACCTTACTGCTTACACAGATCTAAAATGCACAACACCTACCTCAGTGGTGTGAGCTATGTATCAAGCACTGAAGAAAAATTCCCCTCCATTCAGCTGCTGTTATTTATCATTTACCAACTGTCTTTTAACCTCAGAAACTACAAATGCATGGATTCATATGCATGCACTTTGTGACTGTGACAGCCTATGCACATGCTCTCAACAAGGTGATCCCAGAAGATTCCATAACAAAAACGCAACAGATATAGGTATTCTAAATGAGTATGTGAAGGATGTTTCCTCTAAGATGAACAAAGCAAATTACCCCTTAAGGAAAACAAATCTGTTGCCAATAATAAAATCTGGCGAGGAAAGGGAGGGTGGAGGGCGTACGTACGTACGTGTGTGTGTGTGTGTGTGTGTGTGTGTAAACCTGATGCTGCTAGATGAAGGTTTTCTGATGAAATCTGAGGTGACATCAAATGCCATTTCACAGAATTGGGTAGCAACCAGAAATCATATCAAATTGGGCAATTTATGGAGGGCGCGTGTGTGTGCGCGTGTGTGTGCGTGTGTGTGTGTGAGAGAGAGAGAGAGAGAGAGAGAGAGAGAGAGAGAGAGAGAGAGAGAGAGAGAGAGAAAACCTGATGCTGCTAGGTGAAGGTTTTCTGATGAAATCTGAGGTGACAACAAATGCCATTTCACAGAATTGGTTAGCAACCAGAAATCATATCAAATTGGGCAATTTATCAAAGAACAGTGATTATAATTGCCCAAAAATATTAACACTAACTCTCCTTTTCCTTACTGCATAGCCAAGAGCCTAGGTTTTAAAATAGGTGTGAACAAGGCTAATCATGTTCAAGACAAATAGTATGAAATTCTCAAAGAACAAAAATATTATCTTAAAAATATGTGAATCAAACATGGTGATATGGTCTTTAATTCCAGCACCTGGAAGAAGCATGTGGATCTTTATGAGTTTGAGAGTAGCCTGTCTACATAATGCATTCCAAGCCACCCAAGTAACTACCAAGGCCCTATGCAAAACAACAGTCCCTTGCTTCCCCAAGAAAACAAAAGTGAAGAGAATATAGTGTAAAAATTTGAATGTGAAATCCTATTTCTTCTACTGAGCTTAGATTGGTGAAGTACAGCAAACACCTTTTCACCATCAGGTGTTTAGGGGGTAGTTAAGGTTTTTGTTTGTTTGCAGAGCTCTGTAAATGAGATTGGTTAGCTACTATGACAGCCTTAATTTGTAATAGGGTCAGAGATAACCACATAAGTTAAAGTACAATGCCTTTACTTTTTAAAGGGTAAAAGCTAGAGTCCTAAAACAGTACATGTTCACAAAAGGGTATAACTAATGTGGGAGAGACTATAATTAGCCTTAAATTTTGCTACATAGACATGAATTTCAAGTTACATGTGTTTCACACAACTATGGCATTGTAGTGTTTTAAGTTCCAAAGCTTTCCTACCAGTGAAGGGTCTTTAACTGCTTTGCTGAGTAGGAATTACCTGATTAAGTTACACCTTTCTCCTAATATACTCAAGGCAACTTTCTCTTACATTCTCAGCAATGACTAATGATTAGGCCCACTTTCTATAGGAGGTAGTCCGTATGGTGCAGTGATAGTCCAAGAGACTGCTAACCTGTGTCTGGAAGACGAGGGGGTCCTCCTCCTCCTTGAGCGTGACCTTGATCTCGAATGTCTTCTCTTTTCCTCTTTCTTGTCTGGATTTCAAAGAAAATGAACTTGTACTACTAAGAAATGCTTTACAGAGGTATATACTTGAGATTCAGGAATGGAACTCCTATCTTCTGACTGTCCAGAGCACATCTACCCACAGAGCCATCTTGCTGGCCTTCCAAGAATTCCTTATTGTTATTTCAGCCTTTATAAGATACCCTCAAATGCTGTAAGTGATCTTATATACAGACTCACCAAGAAGCTTGCTTCAGTGATATGAATTACCTCAGCTTTCAGTAAATCCTATGGCAATTTGTATTGCTAGCTAAGGTTTCCTCCACTACCTAAATTGTTCTAGGGGGGCCCAAGTGTCGCAATAAGTCAATGTGCAAAAGGCTATCTTTTTTATTCTTTGGTTTTCTGATTTGCTCTTCAGTAAGTTCTACTGCATTCTTCTTCCTTTCTGAGAGTGTTCCACAATTCAAGTTCTGGGAGACATTTTCAGCTCGACTAAGTGAAATGTTCTTATTATACATGTTTGTGTGTGGGTATATTGAGGACACTATGGTCACCGTCTTTAATACCTAAGCATTTATGTCAGAGTTCTAAGCCAAAGCCATGACTCATTATCCTGCCACTGTACCTGAGTGACAGACTCAGACCGATTTTACTTTTTTTTGATCTGCCACCATTTTTAATTGTACTTTTAAAAAGAAATTGTCTCACTTTAGCATACCAATTTTTTTTCTTCAGGATCTTATCAGAAGCAGGCATAAATGCTTCTTGAGATGGTTCAGCAGGGAAGTGTTCTGCTGCCCTTTTTACATGCTCACTTTCACCAAAATGATGCCTCCAATTCAGTTAGGTTATTCCATTCACAGGCTTTAATTTACTATGAATGCCACAAAGCCACATAACCACAGACTTCATTATAAGCAAAGCACATTCATTTCAGCCTCAGTCTCTAACAGAAGTTAGAGCATAAAAACTTGACACCTTACCAGATGATATGCTTAAAGTACTTGCTATCAGTTTTTTTATTCTTAAAACTTACTTTCCAAATAGTAAATAAGAACATTTCCACTTACTAAGGAATAAGAGTTTAAAAAAAATGATTCGAACATTTAAATGGGAAAATGTGCTTCATTACCACAGATTCACATACACATAACATACACTGGGACAATTAATTTAATCAATCTCAAAAGGACAATCTATCTACAGCTAGTTTAGTGGCACCTGTGTTAGTGTTTACGCGTCTGTACTGGCCTGCCTTTGGAGTTCTGACAGGACACGCCCTCAGCTGCTGTCAGTAAGAACACCAGTTGTACCTATTCACTATGTCCCTTTTTCAAAGGCCCGGCCCGCTTCCCCCCCACCCCCGCTACTCTCGCCTACTGCTCCTGTCCCAGGAGGCTGGTCTCCCCACTCCCTACATTCAACTGTCCCATCTTTCTCGCCAACAGTTCTCTTTTAAATTACAACAACCTGTTTAGCACCCACAAGCCTCCCGTTTCCTTCTCAGAAACTCCTACCATACAACCAAAAGAATATGAATGAAAACTATTACACGATTTATCTCTCAGAATACAGAAAGTCTTAAAACAACAGAAAACCCAAGAATGTTACCCAACAACGTCTGCATGTAAGCCATTGCCAGCTCTACTAAGAACCCACTCAACATTCAGGGATGTGTGAGCACATACCTGGCTCAATGGCAGCAGAAATCAGAGACTGTGCCTCACGCACTCTCTTCATGGCTTCCTCTATTTCTTTACTAGACGTGTCTGATTTCAGACTTGGTGAAACAAGACCAGCAGCTACATGATTCAATCTAAAACAAACAATTGAGAAATAGTTTAAAATTTACCTTTTACGCTGCATCTGGGGAGAAATTGAGGCAGTGGCCAACAGTCCACAAAGTTGCACATGAAATCATGACCACAAAGGTTAAAGACATGCCCTTAAGTGTTTACATATGCAAGAAAAATAAACAAACAAAAAAACCCTAAACAAACTAGACAACAGTAATCCAAGGGGCAGAGCGAGATCTTATTAGAAGCAGGCATAAATGCTTCTTGAGATGGTTCAGCAGGGAAGTGTTCTGCTGCCAGACTCGTAACTGTGAACCAGATCCTTATTAAAACTGTTCTAACCTCCACACACACTGTAGCTTGTATGCACGCAAAGCCCCCTGCCAAACAGATCCAAAAATTCTTTTTTTAAAAAGAATGCTGAGTGTGATAACTCACTTCTTTAATCCTAGCACCTTAAGAGGCAGGGGCAAGACCATCTCTGAGTTTGAGGCCGGCCAAAGCTATCATGAGACCCTGGCTCAAAACAAAACAAAACGAAAGGAAAGAAAGAGTGGGCAGAGGAGCCGATAATGCACGGGTACTATTGTTGGGCTATGTGGACAATGACCATCACGTCAAACTGAACACGCCCTTTGCCTTGCCATATCTTCCCACTTATCAATAGTGACTTTGACCAACTTCAGGGAACATGGAATAGAGCTCCAATTTAGTTTACAGGGGGGAAAGGCCTATAATGTCACCATCAAACAGAAGAAAATGTCAAGTACCGTGTAAGAACACCTGTAAGAACATGATAGTGTTAGTCACCTAACAGGCACTTCCTTCTCAGCCTTACTTTTCAAATTCTCATCACCCTCAGGGCTCAGCCTCTCATCTACAAATCACGTTTTCTCCTGCGGCACCTTTCTACTTTCCCCATCTGAAGGCACATACTCTGCTACAATACATGTTTAATACTGACTACAGAAATATGCATATTTACTTACTTACATATTTACTTGAAGCAGGATCTTACTATGTAGCCCTAGATGGTCCTGGAAACTTGCCATTTAGACCCAAGCTGGCCTAGAACTTAGATCACATGCCTCTGCCTCCCATCCTCCAGTGCAGAGATTAAAAGCTGTGCACCACCATGCCTCACTCTAGTATTATGTACAAATCATCAAAATAAAACTTTTATGCTATCACTTTATAACAAGCCACTTACAATTATTAGGAAATACCCAAAACAAAACCCTTAATATTGGGGTCTATTTTTTTTGATGTCCTTTCTTATTTCTATACTGCGATACATAAAATGTATTAAGAATGATCTAAGAATACCTAACTTTCTTCTGTTAACATTATGTATTCGACAATGTAATAAATAACTCATGTCCTAAGAATAGTAAACTATCTTTCTATTAACAGTAACTCTTCCCCAAATTAGTGTAGTGGTCTATGCCTGGAGTCACAGCACTTAGGAAATAAGGACAGGATTTTGAGGCCAGGCTGGACAACACAGTGAATACATTGCAAGTCTGTTACACAGTCAGACTTATGTCAAAAAGAAAACAAGGTAAGTATTCTCTAGACAGTCACATAGTATATATCCAAGGAAGACAGGAGAATGCTTACTTGGGATCAACGGTGCTCATAAGCTTCAACAGCTGGTCTGCAGCAAGAGACTTAAAAAGAGAAAAGATAAATACAATGAGCACAGAGAAGGTAAGTGATTGCTATTTTATTTTCTTAGTTTGTTGGAAAGTTCTACGACAAACTGGCAAACAGTGCAACACTCTGTGTGCATCCTTGATAAATAGATAAATTCAAGCTAAGAATCCCCAAAACAGGTGATGTTTGTGGCTGCAGCTGTGGAAGAGTAGGGTAGCAATTATCAAGAGCAAGGCTGCGCAGACAGATGTACAGATGTACTCTAAAGACTTAAGAAGGAAAATGGTTTGAAGAATCAGAACACAAATAACAGAACATCTCTAAAAAGTAAGGACTTTGAAATAAAATAATCTTTAATATTTAAAGGATTAATGATTGATCATTCAGTGGTCATTTAAATCCCTTTTAAACAAGTTAACTAGTGAAACAATCTCCCACAAGAACAAGCTTACAGATCGAAGATAGAGAGATATACCTGAGAGTTCAAGTTTGTTCCTGGAAGCCCAAGTGCAGCAAGGGCGGGATCAAGAGCTGGAGCTCCCAATGCAGCCAGGGGAACAGCGCCAATCTGCAATGGTCAAGGTTTTCTCATATAAAACTTGACTTTCCGTATTGGGTCAGACAGTATCTTTTTCATCCAGATAGGGTACGTGTGTACTGTTTTAACAGCTCAATGGTATAAAACCATTTATTGCTATGGTTCAAATTCTGTCATATACAATATATATGAAGGTCGTGGCCGGCAGTTTCTAACACCTGTCCACATAATGGCCAGCCTTTCATTCCTTACAGAACATTACCCCTTTGAAGATTTACAATATGAATGAACATACGCACGCATGCACGCACGCATGCTCTTCTGTCCTGCTCTGGGCTATGATGATGATAAGACCCTATGTACTCTTTCTTCTGGCTGTTGTTACTTGATAGTTGTATGGACTCTGACTGAGGTAGAGGGATTCTTTTGGGAGCTCCCTTGTCCTGTCCTCCCAAGTGAGTTTTAGCACACTCTCCAAGGAAATACTCAGCCATTCTTTCAAAGTGCAAGTCTAAGCACCAAGTCCTCTGGTCAAAAATGTTTGTGTTCTTGTTCTGTAGTATTGTTCCTCACCAGGACTGCTATACATTCATTGTAATAATCTCCTCCTATGCACTACCCATCCCTGGTTTCTTATTTATATTTCTAAGATCCTGTCTTCTTCTGACACAATTTTTATTAATGCAGAATTAAATCAACATAAACGTGTAATGACTCTGACTTTCCATATACCAGTGATGAAGTTCATCTCCTATTGCCAATCACTACCTCACAAACAACAAATATGACTACTCTTTCAGAATTCAATGGCATAAGTACCTGGGTAAGTGGGTTGGGGGTAGGCAGGAGTCCACCACCAGGCAGAAGACCTGCCACTGCATTAGCTGGTGCCAATAGAGACAAAGCCTTAGTCTCATCAGGAATAACTCCTGCAGAGAAACATCCTTGCATGAGAACACACCCTCTTGTAAGACAGAAAACACACAAAAACACCCAGAAAATGTCTCCCTGATACACCACCTGAGTTTGTTGAAAGTACTTATGTTCGCTAAAATATAAAGTTTGATCTCTATGATTATTTATCATTAATTTATGTCAGAATGAAACTTCAATGTGTGAAAATTTGTTTCCTTTTTCTCTACAATGGTTAAGTTTCTAGAGTAAAAAAAAAATAGCACAATACACACTACTGTTTTGTTAACACTGCCAAGATTTCATCACCTGTACTCGATTTTTAAGTCATGAACCAAACGTAAGCAAGCACAGTCGGTTCTCCAGGGGTGTGCTCTCAACTTTCAAAAGCTGTTTTATGAACAACGACTCGTGTCGGCTGCTTCACTATAAAGCACACAGAAAAATCAAGATACACAAGACAAAAAAAGTTTGATTTAGGGGTTAATAATATGGTACAGTTACTATGATTTTCTTTACACCTACCATACAAATTTTGTAAAAATTAAAAGGAAAGTATGTAAAGGAAATACTCTGTTGGAATCAAGAGTAGGGCTTTTGCTGACATGAATATGAATGTTTCTGAAGATCTCTGAATACACAGGGGAAATGTATGTAGGAGCAGGGGGGGGAGCGAGGGAGGTACAGCAGGGGAGGTACAGAGAAAAAGAGAAGGGAGAGAGAGGAAAGGGAGAGAGGAGAGAGAAAGAGAGGGAAAGAGAGAGAGAGAGAAAGAGAGGGGGGAAGAGGTAAAACATGGCACATTCCTTACCTGTACAGTAAAATGCTTTAGGTTCCAATATGTGCCATGCTAACCATATCAAAAATGTTGCTACGTAGTGTCAGTTTAATATCTAACTTGTTCAAAACTCTTTAAGCCCAAAATAACATGTATGCCTGCTTTTAAAGCCTACTCTGTGTATTCAGATAAAATCTAAAGGTCCTAAGACAATTTATGTAGACAATTTAAATTCTATCCAACAGCAAAAGCCCTATACAGATGGATTAATCTGTTAATGTGCCCAAGCCCCCAAAGTGAGAGTTCAATAATACAATTAAACTACATATTTGCAAATACCAGTAGTATTTCTGTAATACATATTAAGAAACTGCATCTCATTATAAAACATACAATATGTACAGGGCACTTAAGAGAAACTGGATAAGCTGCAGAAGAAAACTGTTGGGTGGTATTTTCAGCAGGGCCTGGTATATAGTTCAGGCTGAACCAGGGAAAAGAACTGTAAAACACAACAACAAAAAAGAAAAACCACTGTTAAATAAAGGTAATGGTTCCTTCCACCTACACTGCGAAGTGCCGATAATATAAACAAAAGTACACTACACAGCACTGCTATCTTGCTTGTGTCAGAGCTGTCATCAATTTAGATACCAAGAGTTATGGAGGGAAGGGGAGAAGATCATTTGGATATAGGGCATTAATGCATTAATATTAACAAACCTACAAAGATTAAGGGATAATTTTGCATGCAAAATTATGTCTCAAGAGGATATATTATTTAAGTATCAACATCTTACTCAAATTAGTGCATTTGCAACATTTCTGGCAAACTAAAATCCTCTTGAATTTATTGTGAGACACCTGAGAGAAGATCTGCATCCATTAAAAAAAGTCATGCATCTGATCCTCTGATTTAAAAAGGACTAAAAATAAAACTACAATTTAAAAATAGCAATGAGGCCCCTCACCAGTTAATTTTCATGCGTCAAGAGTATTTTTTTACTGCTGCTTTGATAGAACCATGAAATACTGCATGAATGTGTAGAAATGAAAGAAAAAGAAACAGACAAAAGAAACAAACATTAACCAAGGAACCTAGATGCCCCCAAATCCATTACTATTAAGAGCACCTTCCACATCCAGCTATCTCTACATTTTACCAAGTAAGACTATTCTTACCGTATACTTTTGGTCTATTGTTCTAACACACTGACCAAGAGTCAACACCAAAGTGTTAAGGGCTAAAACCAGAGCGAATGGCAACAAAGGGATTGAACACATCAGTTTACTTGTGGAGGTAACATTAATACAGCACATCATACCACAAATTAAAAGCAGCAAAAACAGATTTCTGAACTAAGTATTTCTATAGTTCTATATATACTCCCCAAAACCTCACTTTCAAAAACACATCTACAAAAATTACTATGGCTTAAAGTAGTTATAAAAACCCAGTTAAATGATATACTATATTGCATCCCAGGCTCATTACATTTATGGCTAACTGAAGTTCTCTGCATATTACTCACATGGCATGACCGTTTCAAGACCTACTGTCTACTTTACTCATCCTGAATTGAGTTCTGTAAGTTCTCTGTTGGTTTAAGGTGGTGGTTAAGTCTTATAAGAGGCACACTGAAATAATAGGAATTGCTTATCTAAAATATACTAAATCAGCTTCTGTCTTTTCTTTGATAGAAATATTGTTACTAGCCTCACATCGCACATATTTTTACCAAAACAGCATGCCATAACTCATCTCTGAATATAATTTCCTTATAAAAACCAGAAGCTATTATGATTAAACATTTCACAACTTTCAGTATGATGGCAAATCTTCACATTTGTCTTCAATTATCTAAGAAGCCTCTAAAAAGCAACAATTACAAGATACTGCTTCCACTGACCAATTTATTGAAGGAAGGGGAAAGCATGTAGATCCCGGACAGTTTATTAAGTTATTACCTTAAAATTCAGTAATATGTCATAGCAATGATTTCCTCATTAAAGATTTATAGTTACCAAAAGCAAACCAAACAGCAGTTCACAGGGAACAAGCTAACTGTAAAATATGCCTTAGAAAAGTTTTACAAAATGGCATTAAAATAGTGCCGTCCTGTCACAGTGGCTTTTTTAGATCCAAAAACCTGCTCATTTTTTTTCTGTCAAATTACTTTAACAGCCTAAAATGTAAAAAGAGAGAAAATGCAGTTAACAAATGGTGCAGCAGGAAAACACTTGGGGGCTCGAGTGCTCGCTGGGTTAGTTAGTCTAGAGCCTGCAGCTGCAGAGCACCCACTGTGTCCAGCCATCTGGGAGGGTTTTGCATGTGCCTTCTCCACTACAAAAGTCACACACACAACAGAGAGAAGAGTTCATTATTTTGAGATATTCTAGAAAATATAACAAGAACAAGAAAATCTGGCATAAAAACATACACCCAGTGCCCATCTGGCACCTAAACTATAGGAAATCTTAAACTTTTTGCACAACTAAAATTATTGTAACCCTTGGTATACTGGAATTCATGTGGGGTTTTTGTTTTCAGTGAATAAGAGAATCAAGGAAATAAAACTTGCTTAGCTATTGATTTAGAACAAAAACACCATACATTTATTTGAAGATTTCTGTGTAAGAGCGACAGAGTATAATTCTTTACCTTTAGAACTTCTTAACATTATTTAATATATCTTAGTTTTAATTAGGAATTCAGTTTTAATAAACTTAAAACATTTTAAAGATACCAAAGAGTTAATTACCTTATAAAGCAGACTTGATTTCTAAGTTTTAGAGTAAGAGAAAAAAAAAAATCTCCAAGAAAGAATTAATGGAGTGCAGTATAACAAGGGTTTCAAATTAATGCTCAGAGTTTACACAAGCTGGTGATGCTTACTCTACACCTACACTGTGGCCGATGGCCAGGCAGGGGTGCCCACGTAGGTAGTGAAACAAAGCACAAACCTTCAGCATATGGTACGACTATCAAAGCTCTGTCAACGAACACAGTGTTTGTCAGATGCTGTGCCACAACTGCTGAGTCTGGGTCATGGAACTTAACAAAGCAGACACGAGAGGAGACTGGCAAAGGTGAGTCACTAAAAGACAAATAAATAACATTAGAGAAAAATAGTACTGGCTGCAACACAGATAATCACCAAAAGGACAACGCTCAGGTAAAAATACAGATGCATGTTAACTAAAGAGAATGTCTGTATGACCTAACAGAATGAGAAGGCAGTGCAGATACGCTCCTAAAATCACCACTTAAATGGTGACACAGCAATTTTAAAACTTTCTTAAATCAGAGAGAATGATATACCATTTTAGTGGCTGTGCATACTTGTGCTTGAGTTGCTCAAAACCAGGCTAGGCACTGAAGGATACATACAGCTCCTCATTCTCAGTTCTAACACCAACTATTTTTTAAATGCGAAGGTTTTGGCTAATCTCTCAGCATAAAAATTAAGAATTGTTTATTTCAAAGGTAAAATACCACAGAAAAGCACATTTAAGCAGGCACAATGACACAAGCCTGTAATCCCCAGCGCCCAGGAGGCTGGGACAGAAACTTAACTTCCAGACTAGTTTAGGCTACACTGAGAATTTGTCTCAACGACTCACTCTAAGCACTCTTGACCTGGACAATAAAGTGGTCCCACACCCTGACCCTTCTGCACCTACAGAATATATAAGAGTGCTTAAGCACTTTAAATAAGGCTTCCTGATCTGAAGTACTTTCAGAGAAAAGAAAAATATTAAGCATATACATGGCCAATTGAACATGTTATGTAGCAACTCTTCCCCGTGCTACACTTCAGCCAAGTCAAGAGCACACTGGTTCCATGGACAAGAAAATGGTAAAGTGCATGACAGTGAAAGGATGATAATGTAGAATAGGCTTTTAACAAGATATAATGGGAGCTGGAGAGATGGCTCAGAGTTAAGCGTATTGACTGCTCTTCCAGAGGACCAGAGTTCAATTCCCGGCATTCACATGGCAGCTCACAACTGCCTGTAACTCAAGTTCCAGTGGATCTGACTCCCTCACAAAGACATACAGGTTAAACACCAAAGCACATAAAATTAAAAAACTTTTTAAAGAAGACATAATGGGCCAAATTCCTACTATAACACTCTATAAATGCAAGGGTTGCATATGGAAATCAGTTCTCTAAGATGGTAACAATCTCATAGACCTTGGCTACGAGAAAACCACCTGTGGGGAAAACCCTACCCGGGCCCCTGATAGTACCATAACCCTCCCTTTCTAATTCCTCCTGACTTTGTGAATAAGAACTCTGGGTAGAGAACCAAGCAGCAAGGTAATGACACCCACAAGGCTGAACGCTCCGTGTTTCTAAAAGAAGGATGTCTTTTGAGACAGGGTGTTGTGTAAGCTTAGGCTGGCCTTGGAAGACCCCCGATCCTTCTCCTCCACCATCCTGGTACGGAGATAAGGAGACAACATACATATTTAAAAATGTGTCTGAAATTTGAGAAAACTTTCAGTCAGAAACAGTGAGAAGAATGTTCTAGCACGAATGCTCAGGCAACGGTTGTTTTTTCCTGTCACTGGTTTTTCACTTTAACCATGACATTTTAAAAGCTCTTCAAAATGGTGCTGCCTTTTGTTATTAAAACCCAAAACACCACCACTTAGGGAAGCATAGGCATCTGTGCCTCCTAGTCTTTACCACTGGTAACTGCTGTCTAATTGGGGGTGGGGGTGGGGACCAGTTCTTAGAACAGGAAAATGGCTGTGTGGTTAAAGGCACTTGTTTTTACCCAGGGCCGAAACTTGACTCCTAGCACCTACACGGCCACTGAAAACGGTCCATAATTCCAGTTTCAGGCTGTCCAGTGCACTCTAGCTTCCAGGACACCACACATATACATGGTACAGACATACATGCAGGCAAAACACATACAGAAAATAAATATTAAAAATAAACTTTGAAATACATGCAAAATAGTTTTTTTTAGAAAACCAGAAAACATTGTCTTCAAGGTAACTACTACTTCCCATTTACCAAACATGTTTGATTTTATTTTGTGTAAGGGCCCACATATAAAAGCACAAGTATCTTTTACCCCAAGAAGCAAGATAAGACTTCCCTGATGTTTCTGTCTGCTGAAAGAATTAAAAATATCTTCAGACATGCATACAGAAAACTGTGAGTACTGGGGTTTACTAAGTACCCACTGAATCAGAATCCATTTCCCAGGAGGGACTTCATTCTTAAGATCTTCCTATACACGGACACGCAAGAACTTGTGGTTTAGGACATCAGACTAACCTTTTAACTCCACTGTGCCAGCCATTTCTTAGCACAAGTTTTGAGCTTATACCCACCCCTAAGGACCCAAAAACAATACAGGTGACATAAGTAACATTCACTTGAGATCAATTTTGTTTTTTACTTCATATGCCTCTTCCTAACTACAGAATGGAATATGCAATAACTCATTAAATCAGTTTTCTTGAAAAGTGAATTTAATTCTTCCCTATATCTTGTATAAAGCTGTTTATAAAATCATTAAAATATCCCTGTTTGGTCCATGAATGTTTCTAACGAATAATCTATCTGCTGACAGTAGCCTTCAAGTACAGAGTAAAGTTGACACGCTTCGTTGGGATCCTTACCTGGATAAAACAACCCATTGTGAAATTCCTTTAAAACTAAACATTTTATTACCCACTTCAAGAATGATACAGTGAATACTATGCTTATAATCATAGCACTTGGAAGGAAAAAACAGGAGGTCTGCATGAGCTACATCTACACCCCCCTCAAGAGACTCTTCCCTAGCCAACTGTTTTAGCAGGTGTGTATGGAGCATACAGACTTTAAAATGCAACGCTGAATAGCTCAAGAATCTGGGTCTATGAAAGGCAGGAAGGCTGAACTAACCTGGTGACAGCAGCTGTCCTACAGTTTTTATAGAAAGGAGGAAGTTGAGTACACAGTAACCCAGATCACCTTGAGGAATGAACCAACCCTTGTGACTACTCAATTTATGGTGGAATTACCCATATCACCATAAAAGGGCCAAACTCAAGTTTATCACAACCTCCTTTAGTTTTTTTCACTAACTAGGTCAACAAGAAAAAAAACCAATACAACACCCACTCCTCTTTGTCATCTTTTAAATGCAGTAGAGAGTAGCTCTGGAGAATAAACAGTATTTTAAAGTGGGTGGCTATAACAGAACTTTTAGTAACCCAAGGGAATCTATAGACTATAAAGAGCTATGTCACAAATCAAATTGAAGTATGATTTTCTGATTAGTTTGGTGTGAGAAAACTGAGGAACAGAGAGCATGCTCCCCTATGGAATTGCCCTGTTGATTTCCAAAGCCAAGATTCTGCTCCAAATAACAGTGGATCCTAAAACTCCACACACCTCATGCAAACTTGTAACTGTACCTTGTATATTTTCTCTAAAATACACAGGAACATACGAATGCCAAGCATTAATAGTTATGTGAAAATATTTCAAGTAGGAAGTCATGAACATGTAATAACTAACACATTGGCCATATGATCTTTGGCACGATTAGTGATTACAAACACAACAGAAAACTTGTAAGGATTTTAATTTCCTATTCAGAATTTAAGAGACATCATAAATTGTAAGGATTTTAATTTCCTATTCAGAATTTAAGAGACATCATAAAACCCCCAAAATTTGATTGGGAGTGTTTACTAACAGTAACCACTATGGTTTCACTAAACTTCATAATTCTTCCCAGAGGGCAGTTATTTCAAATATGATTGTGTATTTCAACTTAAATCTTTATAACTTCTTTGTTCTTTACAGTGAACATGTACATTTAGTACTATTTCAATAAAAACTTTCAAAACAAGACATAAAACCTAATTCAAATTTTAGCATTCTGAAAAATCCCTTCACAATGATTAATTATAAATCTGTGCATTATTTAAACAACACACTGAAATTCTGCTATAATGAATTTCTAAACTATGTAAAAAAGTTAGCATTCAGGCCCATGGATTTAGTCTGTCAAAGGGGGTAAATGATCTTTTGTGTTTTAGCTCAAAAAATCACTTAAGACCAATCCTTAATCATTTGTGAATACCAGACAAATATTTACAACAACTGACCATACCAACTTCATTTCCTTTCTAACAAAGCACAGCCTTAGATTTCTTTTAAAGGGGGGATTTAACCAAAAGATCAAGTGTCTAAAGGAAAATGATGGTGTCGACAATGTCAAGGGGAAAAACATTCCTGAAACACCACTGATGCGTCCATGCCCGGCCTGCGGCCTGGCGGGCCCGCGGATCTTCCACGCCGGGCTCCGCTGGACCGCGCGCCTGGCCTCGCCGGAAGGGCCGCGGGCCCCCAGTGCCCCGGTACTCACTCCGGCGGGAAGAGGCGCAGCTCGTCAATCTTGCCCAGGAAGCCAAAGAGCGTCCGCATCTGCTCGGAGCTAGCGCTCGGGGACACGTTGGTCACCTGGATCACCTCGGTGCCTCCGCCTGGCCCGCCGCTGGGGCCCGGGCCTGGGCCCGCCGCGCTGGGGACCACGGCCGTGCTGCTCATGGCGCGGGCTGCCTCCTGCTCAACACATCAAACACAAGACAGTGAGAGCGCGCGGCACCGGCCGCCGGCCGCACACAAACGGCCGCCGACCTCGCGCAGCGCCGCCGGCCCACAATGCCACGCGCCCGCCCTCCCGCCCGCCCGCGCGTGCGCCCAATGGCCCGGAAGTACGCGTCCAGTTCGTGCTCCCGCAACTGTCCCGGCTGTGCCCACCCAGCCGCGCCACCTCAGAAATGGTTCCTGCACACTCCACGCAGCACCCGAAGCATTTTCTGGCAGAATCCCTTCACCTGGCCATTAAAACCTCCAGAAAGACAGTTTAACACACACATGCCCTGGAGCTCTGTACACTCACTGAATTTTAGCTTACCTTTACAAGAGTTTTACAGTTCTCCAATATATAACAGTATATGGTCAGCAGTTTGGAATACACCTGCTTTAACACGCGTATTCTTCACTACAAAAACAAAACAAAACAAAACCCCTGCCTTATTTCTTAAGTCTCATCTGAACTACTCAGGTTCTCCAACACAGACACAAAAATGATTTTTCTCTCTCCTTTTATACAAGCCACGAAGTTCCCTTAACTAATTTCACTGCCCTGTCTCTGCCTGTAACAGCACTGCCTGTTTGTTACTGAAAAGTACTCCCCACACTGCAGGACCTAGTACAAAGTTACTGTCCAGTGAGCACTGAATACCGGAACACTCACACCAACCTACTTTAATTAGTCCCTACAGACTACCTTTTTTGACTCAAACGTTCTGAAAGCTAAATAAAACCTCAAAACTTTACACTGAGCTTTACAAAGCTCTACACTGGCAAACAGCTCTTTACAGAAAAAAACTGTGACTGGTTTCCTAGGTCTACTCACTGGTTCAGAGACTTAGTTCTTAAGCACAGAAGGCAGGGGCCCATTAATGTGCCTCACCAGAGTTACAAAACACCATCACTCACCAATGTGTCTTCCATGACAGTGTTAAGTGGTTTCTTATAGAATCAGACTTACCACTCACTGTTAATTGGATTCTCATAGCTCAACGTTCTTGTATCAGGGGTGCACACAATGCATCACACACATTGTAACAGTCAATGTCAGAAGAACAAAGAGCACAGTGGCAAGAGATCAGGCTTGTCTCTTGTTTGTCAATGTTATTTAACAGTGACACAGTCACTGTGGCAGTTATGTGGAAATCTTTTACATAGTTCCACATTTCAAACATTTTTACTACATTTATTTACTATATGTGTGTCATGGTACCCTTGACTAGGTTAGAGGACTTCTTGCAGGAGTTGGTTCTCTCCTTCCCAAATCAAACTCCTGTCCATCAGTGTTGGCTGAGTTATTGCACTAGTCCCCATTCTACACTTTAGTATATATGCTTAGTGTTCTATAATAAAAAAATTACAGATTTAAACTAAAGAAAAATTTCTGTGATAAAGTATTTTAATTACAGAATCTGATTTCTGTATAACTTCCTGAAATACTAATCAATGGTGTTAGATAAAGAGACTAGCAAAAGTAATTTTATTTAAATAGGTATTTTCAAATGTTTGGCAGCTCCAAAACAGAAAGCGAAAACTTCAGGGAGGATTGGCTTAAATACATTTCACATCAAAAAAACTACTGCTTTTCTGATCAATCAGATAAGTGAATAATAACTTCCCTTATCACTACAGATCTACCAACTCAAACAGTGAAATACTTAACACTGTTAATGACTTCCACAGAATATAGCTAAGGGCAGATGATAAAAATATTAAGACAAACAGCAAGTGCAATCAATTTATACCAGTTTAAGTAATTTTAAGATCTGACAAATAAGGCAAAAGGGATCAGAATCTGGAATCACACAATAAGTTCTTTTTTCTTTACCATTTCCCCAATATCAAAAGGCACCCAAACCCAAATTTCTTCAAATATTAAGTATCTGCTTATTCCAGGGATTTCCAAGACGCTACAAGTATAACAAAAAGACAGCCAATGCTCCCAATCTCTTAAAATTCAGTCCTATGACAAACTTTCCACAACAAACACAAAGATGTTAGGAACACATGTGTTAATAAAACAGGGTAGAGGCAGAATCTTTTCAGATTTTAGGACATGGAAAGAGAGCCAGTCATTTGCTTTGTGAATTTCTCATTTTATAGGCCTTGCAAGAATGTTCACCTTTCTGCATTGTTACACTAGTTGTCATCTAAAAAGTATGCACCTGAGAATGGCACAATTGAGTCCTAAAAAAAAATGTTAAAAAAAAAAAAAGCTCATACTTTAAATAAATGTATGCTTTTATGCTGGGCTACATCCATACCCATCTAAGAGTAAGTTTAGACAGCAGATTGGATATCCCTACCCCCAGGGGTATGAAGGTTTCAAGAAATATGCACAAAGGAAGGTCATTAACCCATCTTTTCAGGTAAGTTAGGGAAGACTTTGATTCTGATTCTGAGATAGTCTTCCATACTCAGGCTGGCCTGAAACTCACTGTGCAGCACAGAAAGACCTGTCTCCACCTCCCAAGTGATGAGATTATAATATACTCTAGGACTTTGGGATCAAAATGCTAGTCCCCATGGGTTTTTTGTTTATTAGTTTCTTTTTGGGACAAGGATCTTATACTGTAGCCCAGGCTGGTCTTGAACTATGCAAAATTCTCCTGCTCAAGCATTCTCACATGCCTGAGAGTAAAGGCATAAAAGGAATCAAGTTATACCTGAATGACAAATATTATCAGTCTTACTAATAGTCTATTTCTACTCAAAACTGAGGGGGAAAGCCTTGTAAAATCTTGTCCCAAAATGTAAAACCCAAACGAAACAAAAATAAGTAAAGCAACTGGTCTAATTATGCTGGTGATGTGTGTCTGTGTCCATGTGTGTGTGTGCTCCTGTGTGTAGATCAGAGGCTGACACTGGATGCCTTTCTATTCCACCCACCTTTAAATTTGGCTTTCAAAAGCATTTTAATGACAAAGGCGATTTGGAAGCCACAGAGAACACTCACTCTGAAGTGCCTGAGTCATTAACTCAAAAAGTCCCAATGAATGCATGGGTGCACTTAAGTGGGGACACGTGTGTATACACAGCAGATTATCTTTGATACAGACAGCTCTTCTGTGATACCTGCTGTCAATATTCCTGCACACCTTATTTTTGGGATGGAGTATCTCACTCACTGCATCTTGCAGGAATGTCACCATCAGCACTAGTCAGCCATCTGGCAAGCTCTAGAGTACCTGCTGTCCCCATGTCCCCAGTGCTGGGAACAAGCAGAGTCCCCCCACCCAACCCTAGGCTTTTGGCTAACACAAGTGCTGGGGGTCCAAACCAAACTTCACTGAATGAGCCATTTCCCTTATTCCACAGCTTAACTTTTGTGGGGTCAGCAGGGACTAAAACCCAAAATAAACCTAGCACCTTACCTCAAAGCTTTTATCCCCACTGTTGTCCAGCAGTCACTTGTCATAATTCTGGAAAACTTTTTAGAAACTAGGAAAGACTAGTGATTAGTTTCAGGATTCCTATATTATCTGACAAAATCTTCTCATTTTGAAAATATTATCCCGAGGTAATACTTCTTTATCACTTACATGGAAAAATTAATTTATGTACCATTTTATTTATTATTTCACATTTTAAAATGACAGTGTAAACTTTCTACTACAAAAATTATGCATTTAATGTTAAAACCTTAAGCTATATGAATACTGCCAATATTTGATACTTGTAAATCATTAAATGATAATAAAGATAGATGCCAACTCTTCCAAGAGACTGCTGCTCTGTAAACAGGGCAGCTTTTGAAGAGATCTGGGATATACAGACACCAGACTGTCAGCAAACTGGTAGACAACTACTAACAAGCAGCTCTAATACACAGAGAACATTTCTTAAGGCTTTAATTGTTTCACTGTTTTTAGAGCACAGGTTATTATTCTTATTGAAAAAAACACAAACAACATACCATCAATAAGCAATAAATTAAAATTACTGTAGCATGCCTCAAAAGACCAATGCATGAATACACAAAATACATACTTTAAACATCTCAATGGCAAAGGGTAGGTATAGTAAGTAGTAATGTATAAATGCCATTAGCCACATCTGCTCAGGCTAAAGCTTAGAGATTTTGGAGGACATTATCAAATAAGTAGTTTGCTGAAGAGATGAGATGATGGTAACACTTCTAGGAAACAAGGAGTAAGGCAATCAAGGCCAACATCTTTAGGGTAGAAAATGAGCATTTGTATTGTATTAATGGTAGCTAATCTGAGTGCAGAGTGAAAAACAGATATTTCTAGAATGATGAACATTCACTAATATATGTCAATATCTAAGTAAATATAACCGTGAGATGGTCAGTTTGTTTGTGGAGACAGGTTATCGCTCATGTAGCCTAGCCTAGTCTCAAATTCAGAATGATCCTCCTGCTCAAGTCTAACAATGCTGAGGTTACAAGCATTTGTTACAAGGCCTGCTATAACTGTCACTGTAATATTTTCAACAATGGAGAAAACAAAACAGCTCAAGAAGAAAAGAAATAGTGGGTCACCATGAATTATCATCCGTCAAACTACAAAGATGACTAGACCATGCAGAAATCTGATTACCAAAGCTTAAATTAACACTGATTGGCTGTGATTACCAATGAACTACCTCATTATTTATACTGCTTTGTTTATCAACTTAAATTGATGCTAAACATCTCAGAGAATATATCATTTCTTATTAAACAATAAGAAACAATAGGACCTTTCTACTCATACTGGAAGATTAGTTGCCATTTATAAACATTAACTTTTTAAAGTACACGAAGTTCTAACCTACTCAATAAAATTGTTCCCAAGGGTGATATGTAGTCTGATTATCAACAATGGATCATGGGTAAAACTCCCCTTTTCAACATTATAGCTCTTTAGTGACCTAAATTTACTTCTGTATTATTTCATTAATTAAAAACACTGCCAAAATTTACACCACCCTTACAACTGATATAACCAATATTTCAAGTTATAAAATATTAACCTTAGAGGGGAAAAAAAAGAATACCATACTGTCTGTTAACAGTTGGGAGTAATAATCATGGGGAATAAGAGGAAATGTTTTCAGAAAAACAAATGGGCTTTACTTAAATGGCATAAGTTGTGCTGGATCAACTTTCTTTCCTTTTCTTTTTTTCAGGATGAAAAAATAACAACAAAAAAATTTTAAAAAAATACCATGTATTTAAGTTTTTTTTTTTAATGTCATGAACTCCTCCACTTTTCAAGAGAAAAGGACAAACCTTTAAAAAACAAACAAACAAACAAAAACCTCCAAAGGAAATGAAAATGGCATTACTTAGCATTGAAGGAAGAGACGATTGGAGCACATATTAGAATCATGAGGACTGTCTTAGAGCAGTGTGATTGTTTCACCATTCACAAGCATTGAGAGATGCAATAAAACATAAATACACAAGCAGAAAACCCCAAACACAACACAATTTCTTCATCAAAACCAAGTTGGCTACAACTTCAACAATAACAAAATACAAGTCAAAGCTACTTTTGAAATTATGGGAATAAACACACTAAACATCTACCTTCAAAGGCAGCGAGGAATGTATTTTATTGACTACTCTTAGAAATTGGCTGTTATAATCATAAAGACACCAAAAGTTGAATTGCAAACTGAAAATTTGAAAGAAAAATCAAAATGTTCTCTTAGTAACATTTAACATAAAATAATAGCTTTCTCAGATAAGCAATATTCTAAAACAAAAATGATTGATTCAAAACAGGCTAAATTTATTTTTCACAAAAATAAACCGAGAAAAGTCTACAAAGCAAGTTCTCTATGCTGGCTTGAATTTTTGCAAACAAGTGTGTTTGAAAAATCTGCACAAATTTACCTCCTTTTCTCATTATAACTGAAACTACTTATTTCAATAAATCCATCATCAATTGTAGCTGTCATCTTTGAGGAATGTCTAATATGTACGTAAATTTTCATGAGTGACAGAGCCATCTTAGAAAATGTATGATTAAGCTGTAATGAAAAGAACAGATTGCCCCATCTTTATTTGATAATAGGTCTTTCTGTCATGAAACAAAGTAGCATTTTTGGATGACTTGATAGTGAATGCTTTGGTTTCTTCTATTAAGACATTAAATAAAATGCATATAATAAGCCACAGCCAACACCTCTGTAACAAAAGGCAGGTGTGCCTAGTCTTGAACTGGACAGAGGCCTCCTTCTCACTATTCCAAGGAGCTGATGACAGAACCAAAAGCCTCTGCAGGAAATGCAAGCACCCTATCACTTTTCTACTATAATAAAGCAGAGTGTCTACTTTAAAAATGTTTTATTTATGTGTATGTGTGTGCCTGCAAAGTTTTTGTGCACTGTGCACATCAGGTCCTGGCAGAGGCCAGAGTTAAAGGCAAATTTGAGCTGCCCGAGGTAGGTGCTGTGAACTGAAACAGGGCCCTCTGGAAGAGCAAGAAGCGCTTTCACCACTGAGCCTTCCAATTGTTCCCATGTTTTTAAATCAGTAAGTACTCTGATTTAAATGCCACCACCGAAAAAGGACTAGGTGTTTAATTTTAAATGCATTAGTCTTCAAGTAATTCAAGATTCATGACTCATAATGGGTTAGTTCTCAAGACTTTCCCAATAGACACTATAAACCAGGTCAATTCATAGATTGACTTCCGGTTTCCACCAATTAGCAACAAATACATAATTTTCTCAATGGCAAGAATTTTGACTACCGTTTATTCATTCTCCACATGCTATATAAACATAATACACAAAGTATTATGAACTTATATGAATTAAATCATTATGTCAGTCCATATCTATTGATATATATAAATAATATATGCTGGTTGTAGTGGCATGCATGCACTTTTAATCTTAGCACTTGACAAAGTGTATTTCTTTGCATTTGTAACAAAATAACACAAATACATTCCGGTGAAACCTACCCAAGTGATGGAGAATTGTCAGGCCACCCCAAGTGTATCTTATAACTAATACCATTCATTTGTTCTCAGTAGGATGATACGAGTTATGGAGACATTTTCTTGCACATGCTCTTTACATTAAAAAAAAAGAAAGAAAAAATTCAGTGCTGGAGAGATGGCTCAGCGGTTAATATCTTTTCAGAGCACTGAGGGTAGATACCTGCACTCACATGGCAGCTCACAATCATCCATCCATACTGCAGCTCCAAAGAATCTGATGCCTTCTTAGGACAAAGAGCCTGACGCCCACCCACATTAAATAAACATATGAATAAAATTTCTGTGATGGCTAACATTATGTTGATGGTTATGTTTAAAAATTTAAAATCTCAGGATTGGTGCCAGCCTTTGATCCCAGCACTTGGCAGTCAGAGGCAGGCGGGTCTCTGAGAGTTTGGCCAGCCTGGTCTACAAACCTACACAGAGAAACCCTGTCTCGAAAAATCAATCAAGAGAACTACAAAGCAATTAAGGGTTGAATTTTTTACTGCTGTTTCTACTTTTCTAAACAAGCTTGTTTTGCACGAGAGAACCTTCTGCTTGTAGGAGAACAAATTGTACCCTTTGCCTTTATAAAACCCTGACTGAGATGGCTGGGCGCTGCACTCCGGATCCCCGAATACCGGGTGTAGACCTGGCGCCATTATCTAAATAAACGCCTTCGGTTAAAAGTTATTAATGGTCAGACTGGTGAATCTCTGAACGACCCCAGACCCATTAAAAAAAAAAGTGTCTGCGCCGGCGTCACGGCTCAGCAGGTAAAGATGTTTACACGAGTTCCATCGTACTTGGTGCAGAAAGAACCGAGCCCCTCAAGTAGTCCTCTGACCTCCAGAGGTTCCACGGCACGTAAAAACCTGACGCGCGCACTCAAAAACCACACACTTAAGTTCAGAGGAATTTAATATAAAGCCAGTTTCGGACAAAGGTAATCCGGTACAGTGCTGGGCATGGAATTCTCGGCCTTGCCCCCGTTAGCTTAGCCCTGTACCCTGGAGCCACGAATCCCTGGGGTCCACTTCTCCGTTAAGCGAGGAGTCAGTATCAATACGTTGCAAACACCGGGTGGAAACCAAGCAGGAAATAGAGCTACCCGTTGAACAAGACTTTCATTTTGTATTTCCAACGTACTTAACGTCAGGAGTTATTTTTAAAACTACGCCAGGCTGGGGCCTTATCCGTAAACAAGCGAGAGAAAAAAAAAAAAACAAAACAAAACAACAAGAAACCGAGCTCCAAAAGCTCTACGAGCGGGCGGGATTCCAAGTCCCAGCTGCTCGCAGCGAGCGCAGCCGCGGCTTCTAGCACACGCACGCCTTTCGGGCCGGGACACTCGCCGCCCCGCACGACCGCCCCATCAACCCAACACAACCGACTTGCTGGACCCCGCAGGCCTCCAGCCCGCCGCGCCGCGCAGGGCCGCGCAGGGCCGGGCCGGGCCGGGCCGCGCCTCGGGTTTCGTCGGCGCCACGTTCTGACGGACGCGGCGGTGGGCAGCGCAGTCCGGCCCCCCCGGCCGCGCCGCGATGGAGCCCACGCCACCCGGAGGGCCTCTCGGCCCGCTAGACGCGCTTACCCGAAAGAAGTTTCTCCTCAGGGCGAGGCTGCTGAGGGCAACGGAAGGGCTCGTCGGTCCTACGGCCCCGGGAGCTGGCGGTGACGACATCAGCGCGCGCAGCAGTGGCAACTCACGGAGCACGGCGGGCCGGAAGGGGCGGGCCGGGCCGTCCGGGCGCGGCGTTCTGACGTCACTCCCGCGGCCGAGGCTTCCGGGCCGAGCGTTTGAATATGTCGCGCCCGCTGAGAGGCTCCAGGTTGGACCCTCGCGCCGGGTTTCACAGGGACGGCAAGGACAGTGGCCCCTCGGTTCCTCAGGGCCTGCTGAAGGCGGCGAGGAGCAGCGGCCAGCTCAACTTGGCGGGAAGGAACCTCGGGGAAGGTGAGGCAGGCTGCGCGGCAGCATCCTCCTCGGAGGCCGGGTCCCAGTGACAAATAATGATCCCTGGTGTACGCATTCGAGAACATCTTGGGAGACCCGTGGATTGGCCAGCAAGCGCACACAGCTCTGCATGCTTTTCTGACTATAAGTACCTTTGTGCTGCGAGTGTTCGGCGGGAGAGAGGAACGGGAAATGGAGCATTCTTTTTGTAATGCTTTTTCTAGCCTCATGGATTAAATTCTCCTACTTGTAATTGTGCACTCGTGTTACCTATAAGGCAGGCTAAGCGAAAGCCTGCTGGTTGAGTGTGATGATTAGTTGTGTCAGCTTGATACAATCAGTGAGGGATTGTCTAGATCCCGTTCTTTTGCGAGTCTGTGAGGGCCTGTCTTTGATTGGCAATTGGTGTAGGAAAACCTAACCCACTGCGGGCTGCACCGTTGCCTGGTTTGGATCTTGGACTGTATTAAGAGCGAACTGTGCATGTCCTGATTCATGTCTCCCCCTGTTCTTGAGTGTGACATGAGTATCTCACGAGTTACTGTGACTAGCCGTTACAATTACTTCCACCTTGGCTCCCCTGCAGTGATGGCCTGCAAATGAAATACACTTCTAGAATAGGACATTGCTATGGTATTGTACCACAGCATCTGGGGGTGGGGGGGAGACAAGGATAGAAATCGGTGCCCTGGAAGTGGAGTCGTTTCTGTGGTAAATGATTATGTGGTTCCTATGACACGTGTACTGTTTTGTGGCTGGCATGCGGAAGGCTTTGGAAGTAGGTCTAGGAAAGACACTGAATGCTGTGGGCAGACATTAATGGGCTGTTCTTTACGGAAAGTTGGAAGATAAGGATGCTGACAGAAATGGAGACAGTGGATGTCTGATTCTTGGGGTTTTATACAGAATTAAGGACTGTGCTGGGAACTGGGTTAGCAGCCATTTACATTGTATATTGGCCAAGAATGTGGCTTAATTCTGCCCATATCCTGAGTATCTGAGGGAATTTGAATTGAAGATGAGGTACTGATTTGTTTGGTTGAGAAAATTTCAGGATAAGATCGATAGCTGATTTAAAAAGGGGGGGTGGGAATCAATACCAGTGTAGAGAAGCCTCCTGCACTGCACTGCACTGAATAATAGGAAACTCATTTTTGAATCAGCACAGATAGGCCTGTGGGTGGGTCTGTGGGGGACCGTCTTGGCTATGCCAAGTGATTTTTTTTTTTTTTTAAATCTCAGTGTCAGTATCCTTTGTGAATTTTTTTTCTATGTTGCTGACTTTTCCATTCATATTGTTAATGTTTTCGTCTGTTTAGCTCACTTTCTTCTTTAAGGCCTAGATTATAATCATCTTTTTTTTAATCTTTCAATTTATGTATAATTCCCTACCAGAAAATTTTAAAGTTTCAGGTGGCATTTGCATATTTCAGTATCTGTGAAGAGCAGTTGCAATTTTTGATGGGTTGCATTTTCTTTTTTCTTTTTTTGTTTTTATAGCTCTGTGTTGCAGGTTGCACATGGGGGGGGGCATGTGAGATGAGATGTTAGAACAACTTTCTGCTCTTTCCCCATATCCTTTCCCTTTATGAATTTCCAAAGTTTTTCTTTTATTTGTCTCTGTGGGGTTAAATCTGTTTTCCTTATTTTGACTTTCCTTTTACTGGCTCATACAGAGGCAAGCCCCCACTCTACCATCCCGCGCCGGGGTGGGGGTGGTGGTGATCTCTGGTAAATTTGGTTGACAGTGAAAGCAAGGCACAATCAGAGATTGCCTTGGGTGCCTATAGCTCTACCTCTGTCAGAGTGTGAAGGGTTAGGCTACACAGTGCAGAGACAGTTTTGCTACCCCTTGTTAGAGAGCTTCTTGCTGAAGATTCAGGCAGTGCTGGGAATAGAACCCAGGGCCTTGCCTGGAGGCAAGCACTCTGGTGGAACTTGCACTTCACTAAATTACAGGAATTACCTCAGTAGTGGGTAAGAGCTGACATATCTGTTGAACCTGGATTCATTTTCTTGATGCCTCACTTTTTTTTTTTTTTTTTTACCTACCAAACAGGAATAGGAATAGCACCTGTCTCACAGAGTTGTTAGGAGATTTTAGTGTTCTACTTTGTGTTTTCAGTGCTAGGTATCAAACTCGGGTCTCACGTAAAATACACATTGTAGTCTGATGTTGTTGTTGTTGTTTGTTTCTTTGGTTCCCCACCCCCAATAAAATGAATTTACACTGTGTAAATTTATTTGTTTTGTTTATTGAAATTTAAATACTTTTTTTTATTTATCTGCACACTTACAGGCAAATTAAGGGACAACTTGCAGGAGTTGGTTTTCTCCACCCTGTGTGTGCTGGGGTTCACACTTAAATGGTGTCCAGGCTTGACAACAAATGCACTTACCCTGTGGTTTGAATGAGAATGTCCCCCATGGTTAAATGCTTCCTCCTCAGCTGGTAAAGTGTAGGAGATGTAGCCTTGTCAGAGAAGGTATGTCACTGTGGGTGGGCTTTGAGCTTCAAAAGATTCCTGCATTCCCAGTGTGCCTTTCTCTGCCTCATGGCTGCACTCAAGATTCAAGCTCTCATTTACTTCACCATCATGAACTCTGACCCTCTGAAACCATACCCCAGATTAAACACTTTGTTTTAATAAGCTGCCTTAGCCATAAAAGTAAGACACCCACTGAGCTGTCCCCTCGGGCCCTGAAAATTATTTGGGTCCATTTGTAAGCTGAATGTTTCACTTAATGTTCACTTCATTTTTATCTTTTTCCCTTTTCTCTTTGACGTGGTGGTGGTGGAGATAGTCCCTCAATGTGTTTGGAGAATAAATGTGGACATTCCCGAGGAGGCCAATCAGAATCTTTCATTCAGTTCTACTGAACGATGGTGGGAGCAGACAGATCTAACCAAACTCATCATTTCCAGCAATAAACTTCAGTCTCTCTCTGATGACCTCCGACTCTTGCCTGCCCTCACTGTCCTTGATGTAAGTCAACTAAAATGATGGTATCTTAGTTAAAAAGACTTAAATTATGCAAAATGGAGGAGCTAAATTTATGCTTTGCTAAACAGGAAACCTTCCTTGCTGAGCATGTAGAATGTAAGGTAAATGACAGTCTGACTTGGAAGATTGGCTCTGTGTCCTCATGTCCACAGGCCTGGTGGATGGAGGTCCTGTGATTAAATGAGTCAGTGTGGAAATAATGGGCATGAGAAGCGCCATTCTCTTAGGTGTTTTGTTTTGTCTGTAAAATAACAAAGACGCTTGTACTCTGAGGTTCTTTCTACTGTAAAGACAGCATGCATGAGTCTGTGAGAACGTAAGTCTCTTCTCGCTGCTCATGTCTATTGTGTGTATGACATGAACAGACCCTCAAGACAAGGCTGCCAACTTCTGCCTCTTGGGTTTTCTGAAACCCTACTCAGGTCAAATTTGTGTTTGCCTCTTCATGTAGCAATGTTTAAATTCATAACTTGTTACCTCACAGTCTGAGCAGCAGTTTGGTCAGAACACAGCACATTCCTAGTCACCCAACACGTTGCCTTGGAGTTTGAGGAATGGGTTTAGTGAATGATTTTGTTCAGTGGGAAAGCTCAAATACTGCTAATTGTGAGAATGTTGACTTTGTCTTGTAATCGTTTTAGATACACGATAACCAGCTGACATCTCTTCCTTCAGCTATAAGAGAACTGGAGAATCTCCAGAAACTTAACGTCAGGTAAAGTGTGCACCTGTTTCTAGGATTGCAGTTAGCGTGGTCTGACCCTGAAATCCCTCTACACATAGGCAATCACCTGGAGCTGCAGTGTGGCCCAGCGGGCAGCACAGTTGAGCACCTACGAGACTCTGAATCCTACCCAGCACCAGATAAAGATCATCCCAGAAACTAGTTAAGGCAGAACAAGACTTTAATAGTTGGGTTATTTGCTTTTTCTCTCTAGAGTAGTCTTGCTGCTTGGTGTGTCCTAGCACCTTTGGGATGCATAGACATGTTTTTGGTACTACATTGCTCATGTGTGTGAGGGTATGTACCCAAGGTGATAACTAATCTTTTGCTGCTGACACACATCCAGATTAAGAAAGTATCTTTGTCTTATCTACGTTATATTGATAAATCAAGCTCTGAGATTCATTCAGAAGAGCACACAAAAGGTACTTAAAGCATGGCTTGACTAACTTGTTTATAAAATACATATAGTTACAGATGTATTAGACCAGAAGGTACATTAACTAGGAGGAAAGCAGCCCCTGTAATAGCAGTTTGGTGAAACTGCAGCATATGAAGCTGCCCTAAGACCCCTCCTCCCAGAAGCAGTCATATGGGCTTCAAGGCAGGAAGAAAGAATTGGATAAGAAAAAGGATGAGCATGGAATAGTGTGGGCTTAGCCCATCTGGTTAGAGTGATGGACAAGAAAAGGAAATGGAGGACTGCCTACCTCAAGTAGATCCTATCAAATCTCCTGACTTCAGCTTAGTGGCCTTCAGTCTTCAGAGACTTCACAATTATATGTTTATATTTTATAAACACCTTTTGGGCTTTTATTCTATGTAGTTTTACTTTGATGTAATATAATTAACATAAAGCTGCTGTTATTTCCCTTTCCCTGTTATATGTAAACTAACATAAGAAAGTTAAATTGAAATTTCATAATTGAATAGTTAAGTTGTGATGCACCTGGAGATGCACTCTGTCTTGTTTTGTTTTTTTAAGACAGGGTTTCTGGGTGTAACAGCACTGGCTGTCCTGGACT